TCTTGAACATTAAAGTGTTTACTTTTTTGTGGCCCCCAAGCCCAACAAACAACAACCCTTCCCAGATTGTTGGAGACAAAACTGCCATGCATTGCCCTACCACTGGGAAAGTAAGGCACTCTGGAGATACCCCGCGCCACCCCGCGCACGGATGCGTCGCAGGGAGTATCGTCGAGATGAGGCAGTCGGCCTCAACCCTGCTTTCCGACAGCGCTGTTGTTTCGTCGCTGCGTTCGTGCCTCTGCACATTGGCACACCTGCGGGCAATATTTTTAACGGTGCAGCGCATTGTCGCAGGGCCCCGCGCCGCCCCGGGCTGCCCTCCAGTGCGACAGGGTCTCCTTCTTTGCGTTGCGCGTGCCCGGGCGCGCCCAGGCGTCCAGGTGCGACTCGGGGGGCCTCCCCTTACTCCCTCCTCCTCTGGCCTCGCCCCTATCCTCGCAGTACATCTCTCCCCATCCTTCTACCTTGGTATCTATCCAAGTATTTTTTCCTCGATACTTTTTTTTCTGAAATCCACGTGCCGGTTCATTCATTTGGTAATTCTTGCGTGCGTCCATTTTTGAACGGGTGCGCCAGGAAACCGTTGGCGCGGGTGGACCTACAAAAACCGCCCTTGCTCCAGCCGCAGCCATGCCCAGCTTTTGGCCAAGACTTTGAGGCCCCGGCAGTGATACGCGTCCGCCCATTCATTACGACCCATTCCTCTTTGATTCCTCTGCCGCCATAACTCCTCCTGCGATCCTCGGACGGGACAGCCTACACCTCCACGCTCCCGCGCTCCTACGCGCTCCGCCCGCGTATTCAAATAGTTTATGTGGGTCATGTTTATAGTGGCGGCACGGTCTGGCCAGTCCAGCGGCCGGCGGCCCGGCCGGACAGATGTCCCCGTTTGACGGCCCGGCCGTGTCGCGTCGCTGGTGTCGCTGGCCGCGGCAAACGATATGCATCCGAGGCCGTAAACTACGGCCAAGGAGCGGCAGACTCAATCCGAGAGTCTCCGTCTCTCTCGCACCTATACCGGTCGGCCTGTCAGTGCGAGAGAGACGATGACGACTCCGGGAATCAGTCTGCTGTCGCGTGTCCCCAAGAATGCAAAGAAGGGCCAAAAGGCGGCGGCGCGTGCTTTACGACTTGTCGTGCCGCGCGTGCCGAGGCGGACTGCCGAAGTGTCGTCGCGTCACTCTACTCCGTGGGGCGTCTGGTGGGCGTGCGAGAGAGACGGCGCGACGAGACGCAGCGGCTCCACATCGCGCGGCAGCTCGGCGCAGCGGCCTCAGCCTGCAGCGGGCCGTCCCCGTCCCGCTCGGCGTGCGCGCCGCCGCCTGGCCTACCCCGCAGGCGCAGCGACCGGAGGCTCAGAGTCCCTCCAGAGCCTCTAGCGTCTCTCCATCGTCCCGATGGAGGCTCCACCTTCGCCCTTCGCCCCGTGCTTCCCGCTCCGGCCGCGCGGCCCTTCGCGGCGCTGCCGTCGCCGCCGTCGCCGCCACTGCGAATCGTAATGGATCGCCGCGCGGCCCGGCTACCCGCCAGTGGCGGTGTCACCGTCGCGGCCTTACAGAATTAATGACGTCTTGGCGTTGTGCGAGTGCCGTTTAAATCCCATTTAATTGTCAGTGTCGTCACCGGCCCCTCCAGCCGCGGCCAGCCCGGGCAGCGTGGGCCGCGCGAGGCACAATGCGCATCCCCCAAAAGGCAGCCAAATAGGACTCTGATGCGTATGCAGACGGCGGGGCGGGCCGGGGCGGGGCGAGGCCGGCCGGGCAGGAGGACCAGAGAGGACCGCCGCCGCATCAAGATAGCGCTCCCTCCGTCTCTCTCCGTCTCTCTTTCTCTCTCGCGCGCGGCGAGGACGGCGAGGACTCGCCAAGAAGATTCCGGAAGCGTGATGCGCCAACACTGGAATGGCGGGTGGGTGCCATGGAGTGCGCGCGGTGCGTGCGGTATGCAAAGGGCGGCGAACCCTCGGCTAGGCTCGGCCGCTCGGTCATTTCTCAATGATTTGAACCCTGGTGGACAGCGGGGCGATGGCAGGGCGACAGGACCTCGTTTGGTGTTCTGTGTTCCCGCGTGCACACACGAACTAAGTACCATCCCATCAGCACGCTCGCAACCAAAAAAGAAAAAACTAGAGTCTTACTGAAGTGTAACCCTTCAAAATCTCGAGCTTTGCCGAGAGAGCCTGTCGGGGATTCCGCCCCGTGATCCAGCCCTGCTAAACGGAGGTACAAAATAACAGCACAGCGGGACCGGGCGGCCGGTCGTGTGGAAGTGGAGGAGATTCGCGTCGCTTTTTACCCCGGCCTTTTCCTCCCTTTTCCGACATTTCCGCCGAGTTTATCCTTTGGCGCACAACGGGGGTAAAGAGAATCGAATGCCGCTTTTTGAGGGGATGTTTATTCTGGCGCGTCAATGTGGTTAAAAACACACCGCGGCGTGACGACCGCGCGCCGCGTCAAATCTCGACGCCGATTCTTTTCTCTTTTCCCCCCAAAACAGCAACAGCAGGACGCCGCGCCGCCGCGATTCAACCCAATCAAATCTGACTTAGCGCTGTCGCCTTTCGCAACACCTCATTTTTGTGGGAAGCCCGTGTGGACATAATCCGCAGTTTGTGTTTTTTTGCGCAATGTGTTTTTTGTCGGTTTTTTTTGCGTTGCGATGATGTCGTCGCGGCCGGTGTGTGACCAATGTCCTGACAGGGTGTGGCACCATGGGCAGCGCGGCACAGCGAGCGCAAGAGGTGATAGATCGGCTGCGCCGGCTGGACCGACGGGCCATCGCTGTTCCCAGGAGTGGCTGGCCAACCGGGCCAACCCGTCGGGGCGCCCTATAGCGGTAGCTGTGGTTGTCTCAGCCGGAATTCGGTGTTTGGCAGATCGACAGGCCAGTATACGATGTATTTTCGATCCAAAAAATAGTCCGATTGCTCCAACGAGCAGGAGGTCTCGTCTCTTCGTGGGAAAGGTTCGTTGCGCTGTTCCCACTTTTTAACGCCAGGGGGCGTGGGGCTTTTAGGGCCACTAGCCAGCCACTCCCACTTGCAGCCGGGACACAATGAAGACGGCCCATTCCGAGCTGCCGTTCGCTAGACGAGAACCTCATCGCGTCACCCGCCAAAGACGCGAAGATTCGCCGGAAAATGCTATCGCGTTTTTTCAAATCAGCAATTGCAGAATAAAAAGCAGACTGCGGTAAACACGCCATCTTTACGAGTTTCCGTCCGTCCACGCCACACAGGTGGGGCTGGGGCGTCGGGGTGGCGACGGTGGCGGTCGCGGTGGCGACTAGGGCGATGCCCATAAAAGCTTGTCAAATACAATCCGCAGAACGTGTGCGGCGCGCTGCGGACTGATTCCGGGAGTCGTTCTCGTCGCTCTGTCTCCCTCGCTCACACGGGGCGTCCCCTCCAGGCGCGAGAAGGACAGAGCGACGAAAACGACTCTCGGAATCAGTCCGCTGGTGCAGGCCTTTAGTGCAGCGCCTGCTCATTAACCTGCCATATAAAAACACAGTGTCCTCCCCTCCCCTCCTCCGCGATGCTTCACTTCCCCCTTTTCCCGACAAAACCAACAAAACTCGCGAATGGCCCGCGCCGCGCTTTACGTTCTTTTGCTCTTTTAGCGTGGCTTTGTGCGGCACTGCCGGCGGCGTATTTTGTTGTCGTTACGTCGCGTTGCGGAAACGCGCTAGGAGGACAGGGACGCTGCGCACTGCACGTTGGAAGGACCCCGGCAATACTCCGCGCCCCGTGCGTGCCTCTCCCTGCGCGTGGAGTATCGACGCGGTCACTTCCCTCCCAACTAACAGCCTAATAAGCTCATCCAGCAGCGGGCCCAGCCAATGGCAGACTCCGAGCAGTGGCTTCGTCTCTATCGCACTCATGGAGCGCCCTGAGGGGTGCGAAGAAGCGCGAAGCATGAGGGGGCCGTCCCCGGGAAGACTGCGTGATTTGGCCCGAGCGGACTGTGCCTGTGCGGCGTGCAATACGGGATCCACGCCCCGATCAACTTCGGCGAAAAAGGCGATAAAATTGGTGCCGTATATAATCGAAGCTGTCGCGGCGAAGGTGCGATCTCGGACCGATGCCAGGCGAATAATGGGAGATTCGAGGTCCGTCATGCGAGTGCGAGCGCACTAAGCGTGCGGTGTGGAGTGGTCGCCCAAATGGGATTACCGCGGATGCGGAAAGTGTGGAACGAGCTAAGCCGCGCGGGACCGGACCGGGGGCGTCGACCCAGTGGTCGACGTCGTGCGAGGCACCGGGGCTCTGGAGGCATTGCAACCCCAAATTTTGATCGGGGAGAGCAACATTTTCGAGTCCCAGTGTCATTAGTCTGAGGGTGGGCACCAACACGGCACCATCACATGTGTTCCGGTGGCCCGTATGGTGATGGTAGAGTCCTAGAGCCCCACTCTAGGGCTCTAGATGGCTGCCACGAGAGTGGCCTGGGTCTGAGTCGTCTTGCGCCGGACGGGGTCTTCGTTTCCCGATGAGAGAACTCTGCGCCACTTCACGGGGGAAAATCGTGAGTTTGCTTTGTCCCATCCCTGCGCTGTGGAGTGTCGAATGGGTGGCCTACCTTCACGGCGCCATGTGTCGAATAGTTGGGATGCCTACCCTGACCGACGCCTTTCTGCCCCTACAGTCCTTTAATTTCAACAGTGTCGATAACTAGCTCAAGGGAGAGGCCTTTTAGGTCGAGCCTCTAAGGAGAAGTGTGTTGCCCCCTGTTTGCCTCTGAACAATGGCGCCTTGAAGTTAGGCCATATTCAACGCGTCTCGCGCGGTGATAGGAAATAACAGACATCTTGGCTGCCTGCTGCCTCCCGGAGAAGTAACTGCGTTCGAATCGTATCTTTTCCCAGTTTACTTCTGCAATCCAGCGCGATTAGTCTGAGTTAGAGCGCCTTTGCGAGGCAATGGAGCCTGTAATGGGGCCTGGGGTTCGACTCCCCAGTGAGATAGGTTACATTTTCTCCATTAAAAATAAAGTAAATTTGTACTGAAGTTGTATTTTATTCATTAATTGGCCTGCTATCTTAAGATTTATCAATTTGGGAGATCAAGCAAAAGAGTGACAACTGTAACTTAGATGCTACATTTAACTCATTAACATTGTTGTCGTGCTCTCATTAAACAAAAAGTGCACAATTGTGTCGTAATTGAGATAAGCAAGTTTAGTCTACAACTTATTGAGGAAGCACTGTTAATTAACACACCACTGAAAGCTTCAAACTTCAAATTTTGAAAATTTCAACTTTGCAAGAATTTCATTACTATAACAATAAGTCCCAAATTTATCTCTTCAATAAAATACAAAACATTATGTGACCTCTTATATGAAAAATAATTTCTAATTTGAAATACATAACAATGCCCAAAATACAAAACGAATCAAACAATGTTTATACCTAATATATCTGAAAGTAGGATATCAACTGTACTTGGACCAGAATGCCCAGTAAAGTCAAATTAACATTTAAATCTTACGACATATCTAGATTTCTTGATAAACCCTCTCAACAAAAATGATTAGAGCTAAATATAGACAGCATATTTCCCACCCTTTAACACCAACGAAGAGAAAACAAACGTCCACATTACAAAAATGTTGGTTGGATCATTTAAAAGTTAATTTTAAAATAAACAATCAAGTTAACCAGTCTTTGAAGGATTTGCATCCCTTATAACAATATAACATACAGTAAAGCTAAAGACACATGGTGTCTCCATGAATACACACACGAAGCACTTTCATTCATGATGACAATTAAAATTTCAAATTGATAGCTTAAGTTGTTACCAACTAAACGAAGAAACACAAAACTTAAGTTGAATTGTGTCACACATTAAAACACATGACAAACCAAAATGGTCATGGCCCAGGTCACCCCAGCAATAGTGACTATTTAGGGGCACCTAACACTGAACAATAATGCCAGCAAGGAACTGGCCTACACTAAAAATTTCATATATTTAGCCTCAAGAATGAATTAAGAAGGTTGAACATAATTCAAGAGAAATATTGGATTTTAAACCTACTGGATTGTACACCTGTCACAAGTGCTGGATTACAGGTCTGGAAAATTCAAACCTGCACTCAAAACAATACGACTTTCTAGGCTGATTTCCAATTTGAACCCAAAGGAACCATTGAACAGCAATTTATCACATAGAAATGATTCCAAACCTAGAATTAGCAGCTAATCACAATTGGCACAGCTTGCACCAGCATTGTACTTTTCTCATTAAAATAAAGAATTTTACAAAACAAATTTCAATTGAGGCACTTGAATAAATATAAACTTACATGGTCAATCAGGCATGTCTATTGATATAAATGGCACGACAGGTTTCATCAAGTCATTTTTTTTATTTGGTCGTTTTTGTGCCTTGTCACGTAGTTCATAAGCTGGAGGAGTTGGTGCTGGAGTTGGTAATGGAGTAGTTGAATCGGCTGTTCCACTAGATCGGTCCCGATTTTCATCCACATTGTGAACACTATACGCTATATTTGCATACTCTTGCAAAAACGGACAAAGGCCTAGAAGAAAGGCACAAAAGTCCTTTCGAATTCCAAACCACCCTGTAAGTTTTCCACAAATGCAAGTTAGTGATCAAATCAACAACATTGGCAAGCATACAAATCTCTTAAAAAGACAAGAAAAGATAACACAAAACTTACATTTATTTCCTCCTTTGGATCCAAATGACATGAGAATAAGTGTGATGAAAGTTATGAACAAAGGTGACACTACGGCCAGAAAACTTAAGGATATGTCTTCATCTAACTTATTAGTTAACAAAACCTGGTTATGAGGGAATAATATTGAACATTAGTAAAATAAATTATTTATAATAGCATTCGAATGGAAGGAAAAAAACATGAAGTAATACCTGAAATATGAGGATTGGCAACACCAGGCAAGTGTAGCTAAGAGCAGAATTAAAAGACGATCGTCGTTGTTGAGCATTGACCTCAGGAGTCCTGAGTAAAATGCTGGCAAAAATGATGGAGTACAATACTCCTACTAAGGATAAGCACATTACGATCCAAAGTGGAACAAACACAACTTCCCAGCTCCATGATATAAAACCATCTAGACGAAGAGCGAGGAATATAAATTGGAGTATGTTAACTGCACAAAACAGCTCCAACTGAAAATTAATCAAAAAATAAGAACATGAGTATGAGATGTGACGCATATATGAGACATATGGGCCATAAAGTTATTGCTGCATACACACCTCAAATGAACGGTCATGTTTGGCAGCCCATATACAAACGGCAATTGAAACAATAGAGATAAATATGAGAGGGATGAAAACAAGGATCCAAAGATGACGTCCAGTTTCCAGTTTGTCACAAACCAAAAGCTCAAACATGAGCAGAACTAGATGAAGTGCCAAGCTGATGAGCATAGCTTTGTAATGAACATATGCTTCGCCTTCCAGCCTGTTAAAAAAAAGGATAACAAAGATAATAATCACTATCAAAGTAAAAATTTTAAAATATTTTACAACAATCTGTAAGGGTATGTGGTTTACCTTGACAGAGGGTATCTTGACCACACATAACTTCCTACAGTGGCTCCCGCCACAACCATCAATTTCCAGAACCATATTGGTGCAAATACCGTCCAATAGCTCCAATTGATTGTGTCATCCAGTCTCAAGGCAAACAAAGCCGTGAAAAGCATGAGACATGAATGCACTAGGAATTTACTGTAAAATATAAAACAGAGTTATGAAAAGAAATAAAAGAACCATGATAAGTTAATGCAGAAGCAGCACTTAGGCAAAGTTACACATAAATCAGGCCATTGTAGGAGCGTAGGTTAGAGACTAAAAATATTTCTTGGAAAACATAAAATTATAAGGACAGTGCTAAAGTGCAATCATTTGAATAAGAACACCACATCATCCGCTCTGGTTTTCCCTTCATCGACATTAAAAGTAGTTAAAAACCTTTCTTTAATCACTTCTAGTTCAAAGACCTTTCTACAACAAAATCATTCACCTGGGATTAAAGTCTTGGAAAAGCGTTTGGAGATTCATTTTACTCGATAATAGAAACTCCGTCTCTCTCAGCCAATGTCCCTAAACATTTCCAGATATTTTTGATGTTATGACGTTAGAAAGTGACGGCCCTTTTCCATGATGCAGCCAATGTATATAAACAAATTTTGTCTGAGATTTGCTGAACGAGATGAAATGCAATATGTATCACAAAGAAAGCATTTAGTGAATCCGAATATGAATCACGCAACCAGGCAGAGAACAGCTGACAACTGTCGTGCCAGTTTTGTACGAGAAAGTATGGTTGCGTCGGAAAAGCGTATCTTCCAGCAAATTTAACGTTGGAAGGAAGCAGAATGTTGAGTCTCTATCGAATCATCTAGTGACAAGTGACAACAGTGCGCAGCACTGAGCGTCTTGCCTTACAATGGAGTCATCCAACGTTCAACTGCAGCGGTTGGTGCCAGTGGCTACTGACTGCGGCGCCCAGTTCGAACACCCCCGCTCTCATCGAGTTACTGACCAGCTATTCGACGTGAGCTTGAACCCTCGTGCCCATGTGTACGGTAAAGGGCTGAATGTCAGCACCCCTTTTAACAGAGTGGAGGTCAACAACCTCTCCTTCACAGCTGTGTCACTTGGAATGATGTGGTGAATGAGGATGTCCTCAAAAGGTAGAGGAAAAGTCTGAACTTGTGAGCTTCTGTCCATAGGACAGTCACTAATTTATTTCCTTCTAAAGCTGTACAAGGATTGGTGGTTGAGTATACTGTTCAGGCAAGATCTTGATGGGGTTTAACAGAAACAATTGTCCCATCACTGAACAATGAGGCAGTAAACTTCACTGAGGAGCTTCAAGAGTAATGATAACAAATCTTTGTCATTATGTTGTATTTTCAGCAATTTGTACATGGTAGAAAATGATTTGCATTTACTCAAGACATTACTGTCTTATTGCTTGTACCTTTCGTCACCCAGCTCACTTTAACAGCTACAAATGGGAGGTTCACCATAAGGGGGACTGCAATTTCGATACACATATACAAGGATTTGAGGTAGCCTCCTTAGTGAGATAAGACCCAAGTTCAACATGATTGAAAGTTGCCCCATGTAGAGGAAAACAAGGATATTATAACAAAAAGTTTAAAACATCATAAAATTTAATACTTGGCAGTGACTACACTGTGCCATTCCCAAATTGCCCCTTAGATTGGATGGATAATGGCGAATCTCCCAATTTTAACCCCAGCTACTCCCTTCCCATAAGAAAGAAAACAGCACGAGGTATAATGTGAACATGAACTAATCCGCTTAGAAAGCGAACAAGAGCAGGAAAGCCATCATAAGACAGAACAGACCCATGGCCTCAGACAAGGCGAAACCAAGAATGGCATAAGAGAAAAGCTGCTGCTTGAGGGAGGGGTTCCTGGCATAACCGATGATGAGGGAACCGAAGACTGATCCAATACCAGCTCCTGTAACAGCAGAACAGTAGTGGATGAGCAAAAAGTAACTTCAAGGCAACGACTGAACAACCAGACTGAAACTAACCAGAGCCAGCGACACCGACGGTGGCAGCGCCGGCACCAATGAACTTGGCGGCGGAGTCGATGTCGTTGGACACAGATGAAGTCTGGAAGCTTCGGACAAGGGGCAGCAGGGACTGGCTGGGGATGACAGGGGTCTGCACCTGGGTCAGGGGGCTCGCAGAGTTAACTGCGCTGACCAGGGGTCGGAGGTATGCCCTTGAGCTGGCGACAAGCTGTAGAACAAAAAAGAACTTGTAAGAAAGACCTCAAAGAGTAAACGACTGTCTGAATCTCATTCAGCAATAAATGAAAGACTTACGGCGCTCTTGGCGGCGGGGGTGATACGGGCACAGGCAAACATGGTGGTGTTTGTGGAATTGATTTGTTACCTGGAAACACAAAAAAAATGTGTTAGTTACAAGTGATGAACACAGCATTGACTCAACACCCGACAAAATTTTACGACCCACGCAAAGCACGGCCGTGACAACTGGATAAACGACAGCCAATAAGAACGGGCTACCAATTGGTGCATAGGCTAAAAGTATCCGGGACACCCCGCAAAGAAAAAACAAACGAGCGTCTAAGTAGGGTTAGGTTAGATTCTAGGATCCCAATCGCGACCAAGTTAACCCCAGACGACGGCCGGTCACGGTTGAGGAGAACTAGAACAGCGTCTGGAGAAATAATGCGAACCAAACGATGAGAAAAGTAACTTCCAGGGCAAATGCTTCAATGACACTTGCACACCTCATTAAGGTCAAAAGGTTAGAACTTCCGCAGTGGGAGGCCCCCGATCGATTCAGCACAATTTAAATTTAGTTTGAATCAGTTTAGATAGACGAAAGGCCAAGTCTAACGTTCCGAACTCAGTAGCCAACCAGCAAATCACGTGAGGCGGCGAATTCTAGCAGGACCAGAAAAGATGGCGAACGGCCTAGGTCGAATACTGCCCTGCGTGTCCCTGAACACGACCAGAAGAGGAAAATAAAGAGATGAGGCTGAGGTTTGCCATTCTAAAGGGTTGTCACGGCCGGATTCCAGCTCACTGCGCAACAGTCCTAAACAGTGGCGGCCCGCGGCCTGTTACAAGGAAGGGACTCTGCACAGGGAGTCGGTACAGCTCGGACCCGCGAATCAAGGAGATAGAGGACACACTATAAAACACCGAACTGGAAGTTAGCCAAAGCTTATACGCTCATGCCGCCTCAGAGAACGTAACGCAACAGAAATCAAGCGGTATCCCCATTCATTCACCGGCTATATCCCCAGTAACTTTAGAGGTGAAAATGGCTGACCGGGTCCTAAGGCAGGGCCCCGGAGGAAAATTCTGGCCAGACGATCAATCAAGGCACGACACACGAAAATATACGAACGAGACGAGGCCGCGAATATTAAACTACCACAATCAGTCGGATTCGAAGGCGGATGAGCCCGAAATTACGACGAGGAGCTGGATTTAACCGTACCTTCCTAGACAATCTCGAACTCACCGAAGAACAGATGAGAGGAGGAGGCGACCCGTCCTTGGGAATGTGTAAAACGCAAGTGACCGTAGAGCGAAACTCGGCACCACCGTAGTCAACCGCCTCTTCGTAGTGGCTGTTCCGTGCAGAGCATGCAGAGGGCGCTTCAGGTTTTCCATGTGCCACGTTCCACCCCTTCCTTTTATCGACCAGCAGAAAAGTGGTACTACGTGAACCAACTTACAATAGAAATGTCGGTTATTCCACTATTTTCGGCACCTTACACGTTCAAAAGCAGATAAAAAATTACAATTTTTTCAGCTTTGCAGTTCCATAGCCTTTTAGGTACTCGCTAGATTGCTTATGACTGTTATCAAGCGGCACCGAATCGACTGAGAAAGGGGCGAGAGAGGGTTTGGGAGGGGGGGCTTTGACATTGTAGGTGGTGGATGATGGCCGTCTTCATGGTAAACATCTGTAAATTCGATGGTTGCGGAATTATTTTTCAAGGGTTGGGAGATCTCATTCAGCACATAGAAGAATCACACATTGGTAACTGAACTCAAATTATAGATTCTATCATTCTTTGTGGCTCTGTTTGAGTTGTTTTGAGCTGACCCAGTACAGTCGCAATCAAGAGTGCGACGCCCTGCACGGTTTTCTTGTTTGATTGTGATCTTATTCTTTAGTGTGCGTATTTACGCCATAAATTCATTAGTTCGATTAAATTTTTGACGGCTTTTCTCTTTTTCGCAGTCCTTTTTATTTGCTATAGCCTTTTTGTGAAGGTCATTGTAGTGAGGTTATGGATTGTAAAAGCTTTCTGCTACACTGCTACACTTCCCTCCCCTCCCCCTCCCCTTCCTGTCCACGCCTACTCTTGCGGCAAATTTGAAACGCTCGCTTTGCTGAAGTCCCTGAATAAATGTTCTATTTTGTTAGTAGATGCATAAGCCACGATTAAATAAATAAAATCATTAATAACTCATCTGTATTGCCCTAAAAATATCTTGTCTGGAAAAAAAAACATAAAATATCAGAAGGGTAGTACTGTTGTGTCTCATCCTCATGTCACAGAGGAATGTGAAATAACAACATTCAAACAGTTGATAAGTAAGGTCGTTCTCAGTAAACTTTATGTTTATAAAGATTCCCTTTCAAGATAATTAATATTCTATTAAAAATTATTTTTGCCCAAATTTTTCTTGCTATTTCTGCCAATGTTGTTTTTCTCTTATTCACTAAACAAATTTTGATAACTGTTCACTTGGTCCGTACCGGTAATTGCTTTGTCTTTCATGGTGTTTCAGATGATGATCCAATTGTCATAGAGAGGCAGGAAGAGCAGCATCCAGTCAGTCTCCCATTGAGTTATGTGCTGCGCTTTTTCACTGATGCTGCTCGCAAGGAATTCCCAGATGTCAAGCCAAAAATTAAATCAGTCGCACAAACAACCCCAAACCCTAGTCAGGGCCAAAGAGTAGCACATCCACCTCTGAACAAACCACTTTCCACCACCGCAGTGCAACGGAACTTTTCACCTGCAGGTAAAGTAGACAGCAGTGCAGATGCTGCCCAAAATCATGCAGACCTGAGTATCTCTGTTACAAAAATGTTTTATTCTCCAGGGAGTGATGCTGAAGAAGATGAGGTGTTGACGGATTCAGACAGCAATGATTCATGGACAACGTCTGAAGAGTTCAGCTCAGAATATATTCTTCGATATGGCAGCAGGTATTGTCTTTGGACTTTCTTTTTTAGTGAATTTTCATGATTAATGTAGACAGAACCACACTTGAGGTTGATTCCAACTAAATTGTTGCTTCCAGGTGCATCACCTCAAGTCCCACAAATCCTAACCAAATGCCAGAGAAGCCCTTTGCTTGCCCAGTACCTGGATGCAAGAAAAGGTATAAGAATGTAAATGGTATCAAGTACCACTCCAAGAACGGACACAAAAATGATGGAAAGTATGTGCACTGGATCTTTTCTAAACATGAATGTCAGCTGTGTGAAATGTTCTACTTTTTCTAATATTTTTTTAATTTATTTTTTATTTATGAAGAATTCGCAAGGCATTCAAGTGTCATTGTGGGAAAAGCTACAAAACTACTCAAGGACTGAAAATGCACACAGCCTCACATCATACTGGGACCAACCTCACAACAATCACTACTCAAATGGGAGAAATATTGCAGATTCCCAGCAGGGAAGTTGCTGCTGCATTGAGCCCTTTGAGAACTGTAACTCTGAAACCTCTTGTAGCTACTTCTACTTCTGGGCTTAGTGCTCTTAGTGGTGCGCTAGGACTGCCAGTGAAAACTCTACAGGTATGCAAATTTCAAACTCAATCTTCTTTTTTTTTTGGCTATTTTGTTCCTTTTTATAAAATGTCTTTTAAAATTAGTAAAGTCTTATAGAGTTGAAATTTTTTTCAGAGTGTTGTTTTGTCTGCAAAATCTGCCCAGCATACAGCACAGCTGAAAGGAACTGTGATTGATACCAATGGTTTTAACTTAGCTGCAGCCCTAGCAACAAAAAAGGTTTCTGCAACAGCTGTCAGCCAGGCGATAAGCAGACATCAGTCTGCCATATCTTCGACCAAACCAAGTGGACTGCTAATTAACACCATCAACCTCACTCCCAACAAAATATGTGCAGTTGGTGAGTCAACAATGCCAGGCATACTCACTCCTGCAACATCACCACATACTCCTCCTTTGACACCAGACAGCCAAACTACAACAAAGCTTATTATGTCTCTGCCGTCACAGCAAACTGTTACCCTACCATTAACACCTGTGAGCCCAGCAACTACTCCTCCTCTTGGCCTTGAAAGTGTAGAGGGCTTGGAAAGTGTTGAGAACATAGAATGAAGTTTCTTATGGGGCAAAGTACAATCACTGAGCAGGGTATTTCAAATTTCTGAATCTTGCTGCAAGACAAAACAAGAAATAGTCAGTGCATGTGCTTACCAAACGACTTGAAGTCAATCCAAAGCTATTAATCAAGGAATCGAGGATAAGTACCTGACCAATACTTACCAACTCGCGATTTCTCTCTCATTTTTCACCTCTTACTCTGTCTCAATAATCAGCTTAGTTAAATATCAAGGAAACAAAAATTTCTTTGTGTGTGTGGTTTTGTGTCTGTGAAAGAGAGGGTGACAGTAGGTTTTGGAAACAATTAATTTATTGTCCTTGTTGATTTTTGTTTTTGTTCATATTTATTTCTAGAGAAGGAATGCTGTTACGATCTGATTGTTTGTAAATAATTTCTCATTCACCCAAGTTGTTAAACTTAGGTGTCAAGAGCCTCTAAATTACCAACCTCCGTTATCATTTTTTGGGGCTGACATTATGGCAGCTCGTATAGATCTTATGTGCCTTTAAAATAAAAGAAAAGATAAAAAATGACAAAAGAAAAATTTTATTGTATTTTATATGAGCTAAGTCAGACCACTGCATAGTCCTTTTTTTTTCTTTCCCAATTAATTTGAGCAACTTTCTTGTTTTGTTAAATATAAAGTTATGATTTGTGATATAAGTTTATAGTATTCAGTGTGTATTGTGAGTAGTTCTAGTCATTTTTTTTTTTACAACAACCAAATGAGGAGAGACTTTTTCTCTCTGTAATGTGTTTATGTGTTCTCAAATTCGTTCTTTTTTTTTAACCTGTTTTTTAAAACAAAGAATTATTATTATTATATTGCATAAGAAATCTCAACCTGTTACAAGTTTATCTTGCTGGGCTTCAATGTTGAGACAATCTTATTGCCGAGATTGTGTTCGCAGAGTTATTGTTAAGTTACTGTGTCTTTGATTATTTCTTACTATCTTTTTGTTCTTTGTTTAATCAGTTTGTGTCCTGTTATAGGTATTATTTATGTAAGTGTTGATTGGTAGAGTTGAACATAATGTATGTATTGGTGTGACTGAGGCACAGCAGGCGCTTTTCTTTGGGCCATTACGGCATCTTACTTTCCAGCCTTCTTTCAAAACTACAGGATATGAATTTCTAGCCCATGGTATGTCTTTGTATTTATGTGGTTTTAGTGTCCCTTATTACTTGAAGGTGGGCCCATAATCTGGTTTCCATCATCATCATTATCGCATGAGTCATTGTGCGGGCATCTTTGTTCATATTATTCTTTGCCTCTCTTCAAACATCTCTTTAAGAGCACTTTTCTAGTCCATTGTGAGACGTTATGCTGCCCTTTTCCTTACTACAATGGCTTGTATTACTGTATGTTTTAAACCAAAGGTATTATATATTTCAAGTCTAGGTTCATGCAGAAATGCATCCTTGTATCATCACCATAGTCAATGTAAATTCATTAAAGTTAGAATTAATTCACCAGTCTTACATGCAAGTGATGATAAGATGTAGACTGAAACGATAAGTTCTTTCAAGAACTCCAGTACCATGTTGTAGCTATTATTCTGTTTATGAAGGAATTCATTTGTTAAAATTTATGATGCCGTTTCTCTGTGCACTTTTAGACTTTCATTTTTTGCATAGTATTGTATATCTCATGTACCCTGTAGATTCAGCAAAGAGGTGCTGAGAAAAGTAACATAGAATGAGGCTCATTTCTAGATGAATGCATTACAGAAATCTCACAATTAACTCTAATATCCGTTAAGAATACTCAGTTTTCATTTCCTATTCTCGCCTCTTTAGTAAGGCTCCTGTTGTCAATATGACATTATTTTTAGGCATAAAATTGCACATTAACCAGATCATAATGCATGTTTGTGGTAGACACAATTTAATGAGTGCATTTTTAATTTCCAGTGCATATGCTCTATAGAATGTAAATTAACTGAACTGGACATAGTTTGTGTGCTTTCTATTTGTAAACTGTGATAGTGGTAATGTGTGTATTCACATATGTATAGAAGATTCAGGTATTGTGAGTGGTTTTCTCTTCAGAAGCCTATGAAGATAGAGAAATTAAGTATGTTTGTTTGTTGTTAGTGCGTCAACTTCATACTCTTGTCTTGAGATGCCTTAAGCTATAAGTTACACTCTTTCTTTTTTTTCCTTTTTTTCATCTTTTATGTGGGATCTGGCTATGACCTATTGAAGAAGAACTGGAACAGGGGACTCAGTTTTCTCATTTTCTTTCAGGTAACTTAAGGCAACTTGTTACAAAAGAGTGAAAAAAGAGATTTTTTTTTAAAGGAGCAATGTCATTACCCACTTTGCCCTCGCAAATTCCGACTACCAGCTAATTTGTGATAAATATATGGCTGTTACCAAACATCTGTTCGGAATTCTAATAATGTAGTTTTATCAAAGTACCCCTTTCTTGACTGATTGTTTTCAATTGAATAAGAGTGAGTACCATAAATGGTACTTACAAGAAGCTTTCATTTTCAATTGTAAGGAGTTTTCAATCCTCTTGCAATTTATTTGAATAACTAAACAATATTATTGGAGTTGAATTCTATTTGGTTAAAAACATGTATGTTTATTTCGCTTCAGTTTGAAAACCTTTACTCTGCTACTCATATAAGCTATTCTCCATCCATTTGTGGTTTATCTCTAGTATCTTATCTATGCATAAGGATTTGACAATGCTGCAACTCACTAACTGTATAGTCAAGAACAATATCTGAGTATACTTTGCAGCTTTAGCACTTATGCCAGTACAGTTTAAAGATTTCCAAAATAACTTTTGGACTATGCTAAATAGAGAATGTTACAGCACTTCACAAACTTAGTAAATGAATACGAATTGTAAAATTTTCTTCAAGTGCTGTGCTGTTGACTGATGTGATGACTGAAATATTTGTGTTGAATTCAAAAAGAAAAGCATTAATATCATATGGATGTTTACCTTTTTCTTTCATTTGTGTTAGGATACCTTTGCAAATGGCTGTATGTATAATCGTTACATGGTTTGGTGTATTCACGTCAGCTCTGTATTGCCAAAACGGTGCCACAAAATAAAAGGAGATAAGTGAATTTCTTTTGATTTCAATATATTATATAACATGAACAGACAACAAAATATCACAGGAGGTTATACAGAAATATAAACTGGCAGCCTCTGCATACACATTTATAAAATGCAAGAGTATCACAATATTCTTTTTTACAAATTATATGAACACTTATTTTACTTTGATGATGATGACCACTCAGACCTTGTCCCAGGTTAAGACTAGCAGACTCCAGGGAAAATTTAACCCTGATAGCAAATCAACAGAGGCTACCCATTTCATTTACAAGGAAACAAAGAAATTTTTACTTCTTGCTTCTTAGCTGAGCTAAATAAGTATTTATCTGCTCCACAACATGACGATCTTGAGCGCCACACCTCGCCTGAACAACATTGAGAGCTTGCACGTCCTTTTGTTCAAATGCAGTTTGAGCAGCTTTCTCCAACATACTGCAGGACAAAGAAAAAAGTAAGGCACTGCCAATCTAGCTGTTAGCACAACCACAGCAAGCACATGTACTAACCCAATCTTAGCATAGTACTTGACTTTCAGGTCATCCTTTACTCTACTCATATATTTTTGAGCCTCTAGTTTTTTGTTCTTTTCCAAGCAGACATCAACAAAGGGCTAAAAACAACAGGGGAAGAAATAAAAATGGAGGTTAAGATGCGAGTTTTACAAGACAGACTGGGAAAGAGGGCGAACAGCTATTCTCACCTCATATCCAATGGGTGACTTTTTATCTTTAGAGAACTTCTCAAGCTGCTCCCACTCATCATTCTGTGCATGGGCTAGGATGCGAAGCCACCAGTACCTAGATATTTACAAAATTAAAACATGATTCTTGAACAAAACAAAGATGCAACCAATCCACAACTATACCTGCGATCAGGAACTTTGAATTCAGCGCGTAAAGAATCAGCTAGTTTCAACTCCTTTAGAGACAGAAGTATCTCTACTGTGTCATGCAAAGAGCGCCCAAAAAATTCTCTTCTAAATTTGGCCTCTAAATCTCGTTGAAACTTCAATAATTTAAGCTGCTCATCACATGCTACAGCCAAAAATTCATTTCGTGCATTTTTGTAGCTTTGTCTTGCAGCTGCTAATGATGTTTCTCTAGTTCCAGAATTCTGAAAAAAGAAAAACACCTAATTAAAAACTGCAGGCTTTACAGGACTATTCCAACAAGAAAGTGATAAAAACACAAAAATACTTTGGGCAGGTAGGCCTCTTTCAAATGTAAAGCAGCTTGAGCATTGAAATCCGACTCTTGAGAATAGATATCATGCAGCTCTTTGTTGTTGTTTTCATAACTGTACTTAATGTACAGTGAATGAGCGAGAGGATAGTTTCTCATTTTCAACTGGAATCAGAAGATAAGGTAAGATAAGAGTACTCATTTTGGGTTAGGAGAGGTAAAAGGCATAACCCATCAATCAACAGTATGTAAACAGAGAACATACATAGAAATCAGCAAGGGGCATCTTTGCATGCATTCTCAACAAAACTGTGTAAACTAGATCAGTATCCCCACTTTCCATAGCCTTCAACAATGCTGGGACCTCCTGTCCCAAATTCAAAAGCAGTGGAACTTGTTCTCTTGCTCGAGGTTCATAGTCCATTAACTGTAAAGAAAGATATAATGATAAGGCAGAATATTCACAAAAGACTAATGAGCCCAAGCAGAAAAAGATGATGTGAAGATTACACGAATTGCCAGCTGAGTGTGGCCAAAATTGTTGGCTCGTAGTGCAATATCCTTAAACGAAATTCCTGGAGCCTTTCCAAGTTTGTCAGCAATTTCTTTTGCAACCTGTTCTCTGTCTTGCTTTGCTTGAGAAACCTGTCAAGGAACAAACAGAAACTGAATTAATTAAGTAATTTGTCTGACACTTCTAAAGCACTGACATGTTTCAGATACTAAAGAAACCCCAAGTATTTTGAAATATTGACTTGCCTTGTAGAAAGCCCACTCAGCTAAGATACGGCTTAAGCCCTTAGCTGGAGGTAGCTTGAGATGCTTGCATATTTGTATTGCCATGTAATAATGTCTCCTCCTTATTAACCTGTCAAGTAGCCCACTCTCAGACATTTTGATGTATCTAGAGAAGACAGTTAAGGTAAAATGCATAACACTGACCAACAAAACCACAGGTAAAAATGTTACAAAAAAAAAAACAAATTGGTAGAAAAAAATGTAGACAAAAGTTTTTAGCCTAAAGGATACTGCACATTAGTGATGGGAAGGCAGACTTTGAAGTTACGAACTGCATTGAGCACACGAAGTACACGACACATTGTAACATATGGCTCTGGATCTAAATTAGGAACAAAGCCTTTCCCAAACTGAGCCGCCTGGTGAATAACAAGAAACATAGGTATTTATTATCATCACATTACACTTGTAGGTACCAAAGAATTATTACTACTATGGTAAGTACCAACCCTTATGAACATCTTCTGATTCTCTGGGGAGAACTCATAGCCTGCAGCCTCTATACAATTTGCTACAGCTATAGGTAGTTGATCTTTAACAAGTCGGATGTACTCATCTGCGCTATGACTTCGACGCTGTAAATATAAAAATGAGATAGAAAAACTGTAGAGTAAAGGCACTTATCTCTACAACTCTAATCTGTCATACCTGGAATTGCCTTGAAGCTTCAAGGAGGTAATTTCCGGGGTCCACACTGTTTATTCTCAGAATTTTCTGAACTACTGAGGGCACAGACTGTAAAATTTCATGTGTTAAAGTGGAAATAACCCTGACGCAGTCTATTTCTGGAACCACATGAACTCGGGAGTCACAAGGGTATGTAAGAATATCACCATTTACTGTGACCAATAATAATGTTCCATCCCACACACCAACAACTCCATCACTTCCACACCTAAAGCAAAAAACAGCATAATAATGAAATATTTCACTTCAATTAGAATGCATTTCACATTCACAATTTGTCCCATTTGTAAAACATACCATGCTAACTGAAATGGGCGGCAAGCATGTGAAGTATCAATTTCACAGCCCTTTCCTGATAGATCAGATGATCCAATCCACAATCTTCCCTTATCAGTGAATAGTCCAATTCGACGGTTGTCTACTGATACTGCCATTTCCACCACAGAACTCAAACGGTCAGCAAAGCTTAGTACCTTTAAAAACAAAACACAATAAAATTATCAAAGTCTTCACATTATAATCCAGGTAAGAATGTCATATTTAAAACATGCACTTACTACATGAACAGGATGCTCTTCATTATAGGATAGGAAATACAGTTCCCTTTCTTTGGCAACAAGAATTTTTGCCTGTTTATCTTTTGCAATCACTGCCCAACTGCTTGGTGGAGCATTAAGCCCTGGAAAGTAATAATATTTTTCCATTTAACATTTCCAAAAGAAAACTAGTTACAGAATTTCACTAATTTACCTGGAATTTCTGGCATTGGATGAGTTTTCGGATCCTTCACATTGTTAACTAAGAAGAACCGGTACGAAGACGTCAAAATAGCAACACCTGTGCCACCCACACTACTATTGAACACATTGGCCTCAATAACTTTTGTTATTTTAGCCTCCTGTAAAAATGTCAACAAAACATTTATGTAAAGTGCACTTAAAAGGATTAGGAGCAAGATGAATTAAGAAACCAACTTACTTCACAGACGGAGAATGTATGTTGGTGATTTCCAAACAGATCATACCTCAGAACTGATCCATCATCTTCTATGCAAAGTAAATCGTCTGCTATTGACCAGCCTACATGGATTACTGGTCGTGATAACTGATCAAATAATAGTGTGGTAAGAAAAGGGGTATGATAAATCCCAAAAATATAAAAAGACAGCTGAAAACTTTTGCTTCACTTACCACAATTGATGAAACAAGTTCTCCAGCTGCAGTGTAAATGTATATTGTGGGCTTCCCACTTCCCTGTACCTTGACAATTTTCTTGGGGTCTCGACGCACCGCAAGAGGACCACCATAAGAACAAGACGCGACAATGACATTTTCCATATTAAAAGAGTTTGTCCATTCCATGTTGTAGACTTCAAATTTCCTGTCCAAATGAAAGAGCACCATCAATTATCACAAGACTAACACAGAACTAAATTAATAAGGTTATGTCACAAAAATTAAACAACACTTATTTAAGACGCACCGATAATACTCATCTCTCCCCACGGGACACCAGTCCGCTGTTAACAGGATTGGCATCTTGACACTTTAAAGAGAAACCGAACAGAGAGGGAAATGAATGAAATCCGAGAGCCAGTTTGAAGAAACGCCTCTTGTCACCTTGTCACCTGTAAACACATATAAAAATAATAACAAAACCTTACACAGTGTTTACATTTAAGTGAAAGGCGGTGTTTGGAGCGGGTGCTTTCCTTTTGTCAAAATGCAAATGATAAATAACCTTTGTGAAAATATTCAAAGTAGCTCTATGCTTTCTATCGTCATAATTTTCAACAATAATATTTAGAAAAATATTTGAGACAGTCCGTTGCAACAGCTGTGATTTTTAAGTCAAACGTTGTCGACCATGAGCGACCACTGGACATCCGGTTGGAAGAGAAAGAACGAACCCATCCACAGGAAGTTGGGCTGTTGGTTTACCTTTCCGCCGACAGTCTTTCTGTCCTGAATCTTGTAACACAGACATGGCGGTAGGCAAAAATAAGGGACTTTCGAAGGGCGGCAAGAAGGGAGTTAAGAAGAAGATGTAAGTTTACAATTATTCTGATCATCTATTGTACGCCAAACTTATGTATTTCTTTCTAACTATCACCCCTAGTCCCTTATATATTGGGATGATCATGGATATACTGCGGCCTGCCAGCACCTCGCTTCATGGCGCTGCATGGGACGGTGTTGACGTGGTTCATTTTGCTCAATCAGAAGTTTATAAACTATCTGGAATAGTTCCACCATTCTTGCGGCTGATTTGGGCACTGTAATCGGTTTGTCAACTATGCCCAATATTCCCTTGTTTGTTGTATGTTTGTGCCCGGCGGCCGATTTAGTAGGGTTATGTTACCCGGTGGTTTCGCCCTTCTTGGTCGCGTGTTCCGAGAGATTCGTTTACTCTGCCGGGCCAATTCTTTGCCCTGTGTGCGCTGTGGCGTGTCTAACCTACACTGCGGGCTGCTACTCCTTCTTCACTTTGCACACCCACTCGTGTTTCACTTGTCGCCTGCGGGTCTTGTGATCCGGTACTCAATCCTTTTCTCTTGTTGCAGTGTCGACCCCTTCACAAGGAAGGACTGGTACGATGTCAAGGCACCGTCCATGTTCACCACCCGCCAGGTCGGCAAGACCTTGGTCAACAGGACTCAGGGTACCAAGATTGCCTCTGAGGGTCTGAAGCACCGTGTCTTTGAAGTATCCCTGGCTGATCTTCAGAACGACAATGATGCTGAGAGGTCTTTCCGCAAGTTCCGTCTCATCGCCGAGGATGTCCAGGGCCGTAATGTCCTAACCAACTTCCATGGCATGGACCTTACCACTGACAAGCTCAGGAGTATGGTGAAGAAGTGGCAGGTAAGCTTCGCCTTTAGGCTAGTTATTTTCGCCTGCATGTGTTGTTTATTCATGTGACTTTCCTTACCTTCATGTTTTTGTTCTCAGACCCTCATTGAGGCCAGTATTGATGTCAAGACAACTGACAACTACCTTCTGCGAGTGTTCTGCATTGGTTTCACCAACAAGGACCACCAGATGTCTCACAGGAAAACTTGCTACGCGCAGCACACCCAGGTTAGTCTAATTACTGGTTATCTACTGCAGCTGATGTAGGATGATAATAACAGATCCAACTCTGACTACTATGAAGTCACTTAGAGCTATTTCTGACATCAGCTGTCTCTCATTTAATCTCAAGTTTTAGACCAAGCTATATTTTTGGCCTACTAGTCTCAAGCAATATTCTTTTTTTTGTTAAAAAAAAAAATATCCTTTTTCCTAATTTATTTTGTTAGTTTGGCTGAGATGATGATCTAACGGATCCAACTCTGACACCTGTGAAGTCACACCGAGAGCTTTTTGTCTGATACCAGCTTTTGATCCTGTGTGATACCCAGCATCCCATCTTTGCATTGGTAGATCTTTAATATATGCCTTTTTCTGTTGTAGGTGAGGGCTATCCGCAAGAAGATGGTTGAAATCATCACCAGGGATGTTGCCTCCAGTGACCTGAAGGAGGTGGTCAACAAGCTCCTCCCTGATTCCATTGCCAAGGACATTGAAAAGGCTTGCCAGGGAATCTACCCTCTTCATGATGTGTACATCCGCAAGGTTGGTTGTCTTCCTTTTGAGCGAGAATTCATTGATCATGAGTCATTGAGTTCGGGCATTTTAGCTGTTCTTGGAGCTAACTCTTTGGTTTCTTGTTTCCAGGTCAAGGTCCTGAAGAAGCCCCGCTTCGAACTCAGCAAGTTGCTTGAGCTTCACGGTGATGGTGGCAAGGGCACCACTTCTGAAGAGCCTGGTGCTAAGGTTGAGCGACCTGAGGGTTATGAGCCCCCAGTTCAGGAAAGTGTTTGAGGGGTTATCCTTATAATAAAAAAATTAAAATCCAGTATTTGGCTTTTTGCTTTTACCCTCAATTTTATTGGGCACCTTTAGCATATGCAAACTGAAGCAACACTATAACATAGGTCAGTAGTAGAGTAGCACACTGAAACGGACAGTTCATTCTTATTTTCTTGAAACTGTCGCAGTATTTGGTTAAATGTCACTTACCTTAATTATCAATGTTCTATTGATGGTGACATAGCCCCTCAAGGAGATTTTAGTGTCCTGCATGTCAATGGCCTTGGTGAATTTTAGTACCTAGAATCATGACTGTTTCAAGAAATGAACCCTTCAATTTACTTTTGATGAGTTCCAATAGTGGTTGGTACCTCTTTGTACATTGCAGCCTCAGAGCTGGGTAGCTTAACTCTCAGTAATTCTTTGATGATAGTGTCTCTCACCTGCAGATCAAAGGGATTAAGACTCCAGTCGGGGTAGGTAATTGGCACTTTGTGGGGAACCCTACTTGGAACAATTTCATACATACCCTTATTTTCAATTTCTTAAACTGGTTCTTTGAAAAATATAAATAATTGAGGTTACAGTCCCATGAAGTCGAACTAACTCATTGGTTCAAATGGATGCCTCCTTCAACAGTTACATAATTTTGAAAAGTTGGGATCGATATGTGTGGGTTCTCCATTGTGTCTAAATGCTACATTTTTCGCCCTGAGAGTTAGACCCCTGACTCCATTCAAAACATAAAACTGAGAATGGCAGGTTATCCATAGACTCTTTTACCTGCGTCCGCACCCTGTAGCCCGCCGTGCACAGAGCGTAGATGTTGTGGCAGTTGTGGCCGACGCCGACGACCAAGCCGACGTGCTGGTCGCTGAGCCCTTGCGCGCGCAGCAGCGGCATCATGACCCCGAAGATGGACAGCAGGACCGTGGCCATGGAGAAGAGCAGCAAGTGCGCCAGGGCGTGGGTCCAGGCGCGCGCCCACAGCCTGGCCGAGTGGTCCAGCTGCAGCCACAGCCAGCGGGCCTCGCGGAGGCGGAGCCTCGCCCTCGCAGCGTCTCTGTCGCGGCCCAGCACCTGCGTTCAAGCACGGGGTTTAGGACCGGCCACCGCGCTTCGGGGTTTTGCATCGCAATAGCCAGACTGATTCGTTTTCGTCACTCTGCCTCTCTCGCACTCATGGCGCAGGTGCGAGAGAGACAGCCACGAGAACGACTCTCGGAATGAGTCCACAGGGACCTGCCTGCGTCAGCTGGTGCAGCTGGTGCAGCAGCCGCTGGGCCGACGTCTCCAGCCCGAGGCCCGCGAGCTGCCAGGTGCCGGGCACGATGGCCAGGTACGTGGCGCTGAGCTCGTAGGTGGGGAACTGCCGCCAGGGCAGGTAGCCGTAGAAGTGCGCCCAGAAAGTGACGGCCACGCCGAACAGCGGCGACACGATGCCCGTCGCCAGCGCCCTGCGGTGCATCCCGAGGCGCAGCGGCACGCCGAATGCCTGCTGGAAGTTGGCCTGGAAAAGGAGGGAAGGCAGGAGCAGTCGTGTCCACCGGGTCCGGTCATCGGCGTGCTCGCGCAGTGTACCTGGAACTGGTGGGAGTAGTTGAACGCGCGGGCGACGTGGTGCAGGGCGGGCCAGTGCAGCAAGGGGATGAGCAGGGGGGCGTGGCCGATAATGACGAAGAAGGCGTAGTAGGCCTTGAGGCTGAAGTAGCCAGCCCGCTGCGTCACCTGCGAGAACAGCGAGTTGAGTTTGTGCAGCCTCTCTGCAGGCCAGCACGCGTGAGGCGCGGTGGGGGAGTTCACCTGTATCCAGTGCAGCAGGCCTTGGAAGGCGATGACGGCGGCGGCGGTCCAAGCCACCACGGCGTACAGGGAGTGCGGCGAGCGCTTCCGGAACACCACCCGCCCTGCAGAGCATGTCGCAGGACAAGGGACAGCAGCGTTAGGCGCCAGGGAAGTCCACTCCACTCGCGGCGCAGTCGTCCTATGCCGGCACCTTACCCTCTCTCTCGCACAGTGGCCACGCTTGCATGGCCAACAGGACCCAGCGACATGGGCGCAGCTGCGCGAACCAGCTTTCCTCCGGCATTTCCTTCATTTCTTTGGACGCTTGGAAACGAAAACGAGATGGGGCTGGAACCTGGCGATGCCTGCGCCCTTCAGGCGGTGACTCCTGGAGTGCCCGTCCGGTGTGTGTTTGGGGGGGGGGGGGGGGGGGGCACTGCCCAGCACTGCGTGACCACAGCAGGCTTGACCACTTTGCATAGAAGCTCCCGTGGGGCCCTCTGCTCTAGCCTGACGGCCCTCGGGGGTGCTGTGTCCTGTGCCCGGGCCGGCCTGCCTCTGCGTGGGCCGCACGTCGCCTGATTGACACCTCGCGGCCGCCATGCTGTCACTGCCCTGCCCCTGTCCCCGGTCATGCAAGGGCAGCCAGGGCGACGACACGCACTGCGGGTTGCAGGTCAGTGCCGTGCCGTGGCGGTGCCGTGGCGGTGCCGTGGCGGTGCCAGCGCCCAAGCTGTCCGGCCCAAGCACTATCTTGTATCGGCGCTGTCCTGTCGGGCTGACAGCACCAGCAGTCAACAGCCCTGCCCTGCCGAGAGACTCCAAAGAGGTTTTTCGTCGCTCCGTGCTCTGTCGCGCGACGGACGCAACCACTCTTCTGGATCGTTCGTTCGGCGATTCGGCAGTCCAGCGCAGCGCCCGCGGACTCGTGGGTAGGCACGCCCGCGGCACCGCCCGCCGCACGGGTGGCCTACGTAGCACGGCGCCTGCAAGGCCGCGCTCTCGCTCCTCGCTCTCCCCGCCTGCAGCTACAGCCTGCCTGCCGCGGTCCAGCGGCATCCTTGCCCGCGCTGTGCTTCATTGAATCTCCATCTCCCCTGCCCTGCCGTCGGGCCTGTCCTGGCCCTTGGCCGTTCTGACCGTGACCGATGCGACACCTTGTATAGAGTCCCATAGGACTCTAACCTTGCACAGCGCCTCCGCGCTTCCGCACGAGTGCCTCTCAAGTAGCGGGGGATGGGGTGGGGTGGGGGCCCCGGTCGGGCACCGCGCCGGGCCCATGTCAGAGGAAAGGAGTGGCAAATTCATTTTTGCTTTGGAAACATTTCTTTAATTGTTAAAACTAACATCTTTGTACAAATCAGTTACAAGAAAAGAGAAAAAGGCACTAAACAGACGTACTATAAAGAACAGGTCTATAAAAATTGCTTCAGTACTCGCTAGGTACAAAAATGTGAGAGTTTTAAAATAAATTCTTTGGCTCACTAGAATCTAGATAACGACAAAATCACAGCAAATGTCACGAGCTGAAAGATTTGGACACATCCATGTCTTGGAGAATAAATGCTCATTTTTAAGAGATAAAAACTAATAAAAGAATATAGAGAGCAGAAAGTACAACTTATGCATTAAAGCAAGTTAGCCAATAGTTATGAGCGGCTTTCAACAGAAGCTTACTCGATTGGCCTTGCCCACTTGAAAAGGTCATCAGACGCTCCTGGGAGGAGCTCTGCTTCCGTTTCACGAGCAGGATCCTCAGCTGGCTTCTTTGGGACAGGCTTCACATCTTCAGGCTTGGCAGCAAAGTATTCTGCCAGTGAAGGTTGAGCTGGGCCACCGAAATAATCTTGGACAAGGATCTGACTGATCTTCAGTTTGGCAAACCGGAATTTATGATCTGTAACGCAGGAATATAATTTGTGTAATTACAATATAAAGAAAATGGTTTTCTCGAAGTATGTCATACCTTTGGGCATATTGCGAAGGTGAGGATGGCGATCAAAGAAGAACTTCTCAGCTCGAACATATTCCTCAGATCCATTTTTCAACTGAAAAATTCAGAAATCAGATTGAAGATCAAACGTAGAAATGATAAATGTCTCTTTCACAAAAGAGGCTAGTCTTATTACCGATTTAATTTTTCCGGTGAGGAAAACATGAGCACAGCGAGGATCTTCTGGGTCCAGACCTTCCTTTTGGCAGTAGTCTCCCTGGGCCAATGTCATAGCGAGAGAGCACCTGCTGTCTTTAATCAAGTCTTGGACTCCCAAATCCAGGGGAGAAACATACATGTAAGGGATGCCTGTGCTATTGTCCCGGAGACCATCACTGATTGAAAAAATATCAGCCATAGGAAGTCCATAAGTGCCTGGCTGTTTGGAGGTGTAAGCTACTGCTGCCCAATCTAAAGAAAAGAAAAACTGCTGTTTGTAGATTGCACACCTGACACTGAAATTTAACACACTACGTGAACTAATACCTACCAGAATGGTGGACAATGTAACGAGCCATTTCGGCAACTTTGGTGTGAGGAGGAGGATTACTCCGAACTTGTTCCGCATCAGATCTGTAGTCGCGTGGCTGACGCCTCTTCTGGCGCTGAAGTTCATAAGGAACTGCCTGGAGACGACGTTCCTGCTTCCTCCTCCATTTCTCCTCATGCCACGCAGTTATTTCACTCGCTGGTTTAATCTCAGCTCCAGTATCAGATTTCTTTGCACTCAGACGCCTTTTCTTTTCTTCAATTTTCTGCCTCCATAGTTCTTCCTCAGTAGGAGTGTCATACACGGAGTTCTGTTCCTAAATACAAATAAACGTAATACATGACTGAAACCAACAACAACTGTAGGAGCAAATGAAATGATTGAACCATACTTCTCTGTGCAGCCTCGCAGCAGCAGCTTCATCAGTTCCAATCAGAGCACCAGGTTGACGAGGTTCTTCCTCTCTGTGTAGCCTTGCAGCGGCAGCTTCATCAGTTCCAATCAGAGCATGTTGATGACGAGACTGTTCTTCAGAATCCTTCCAGTTTTGATAACGCTGTTTCCAATTTTCTTCACCTTTGCGGCGAGCATCAGCAAGATTGTCACCTATCACCAGTGCTAAGAGCACCAGCCCCACGACGGCAAAACGCATCCTGAAAATATAAACAGAGAGCTCCAATAAACTTCTACTGTCATGTTAAATCATTCCATGCCAACACATCAAAAATCCCACAAAATATTAAAATCAGCGAAAACAACAAAAATACTTCGTGACCTTCACAGAATCACAGAATTTACCCCAAAATGGAAACGTTACAAAGAAAGCATGAACCAAGCTGGAAAGAAGTTACTGGTTGTACAGTGCGAACTGTCCAACAAACACAGTGGTCGATTGGACGATTGGACCAATTGCAACTTCATCATGATAATGCATCAATGGGTCGCCATGAGCCTGACCGACCAGGCCACCAGCCCCATAGCGTACAACAAAGGAAAGAGAGCATCGCAATAACTCATTGAGACTACTGACACCGGAAAGCACTCACTTCAAGGAAATCAGTCCAGACAGCACGGTGATTTTAAACCGACGCGACCGAGTTCGAATGACGCAGTGACACGACGAAGAACTTACTTGAAAGCCCGATGTCCCGTTGTTGTGCCTAAGCAGAAGCAAGCAGAACGGCGACTCAATGACGAGCTGCCTGCGAATAACGGCAAGCCTAGTTCGTCGAGGCGGCGCCTGAGGGCGCTGCGACTGCGGCAAGCGCTCGCAACCCCCCCCCCCCCCCCCCCGCCCCTGCCCCTCGGGGGAATGCCCGCGCACAGGCCCACAAGGCGCAGCGCACGGGTCGAAAACACGACTTTGAACCGCTCTTCAATTGCTGTTACAGTGTACAGTGTACAAATTTAGTTTCTGGAATCAACAAATTTAATGCTGTTGCTGGTTCGAGAAGGCCATCTTAACGGTTCGCCGTTGCCTCTTGGCCATTTGGGTGTTTACGTTCTAGGTCGAAGGCAAAGATAGAACAGGGCATAAAATCTTCCGTCCACAGACTATCTTGTATTTTTCTCACGAACATTTCGACGACTCACTCAACAGCGTCCGAAATGCACAAAGGAAACGACCACGTTTTAGGCAGTACTTTATTGGTGATAAAATATTATTTACTTATAAACTATGTATTTCTTAGTTTTAACATCACATGCAAGCGCTCATTACTTTACAATAAATCAGACTCATTCTCTAACAATCTTAACAAGGACATATCCATGTTCAGCGAAGAATAAACGAACATTAAAGTGTTAAATAAGCGATGTGTCAGAGACAAAAATGCAGAGCATCTAAATGCACAATCATCCAGAGCTCCTTGAAACCAGAGAAGCTGCTAAAGCCAGAACCTCAGGCTTTCCAAGAACTGAAAATGGAAATCCCTCCGTGCTCCCTCTTTCCTTATCACAGCAGTATTTCTTTAAAATGACGATCGTCGATCCGCAGTAGTGACGGCACAAGCTACTTGCTACAGAACGGAAAGCGCCGTCTCGGCCGGCCGAGCTCGGCACACGGAGGCTTTCCGACGAGGCTGAAGGTGCTGCAGGTGCCGAGGGGCCGGCCAAGTCAAGCCCCTTCGGCACCTTCGGTCTGTCGGGTAGGCCACCCAACAAACGCAGGGTAGGACACCGCTGCGTCGACGGGCAGAGCTTGCACAGCTTGCAGAGCTCCTCGAAGTCCAGCGAAGTCCCGGGGCAAACACACCCCATGTCCAGTGGAACGGGAGCGTGGTGGGCGCTGCTCCGTGGTGTCCGAGGCCGCCGCCGAGCCAGTGGGACTGTCTAGGAGTGGCTCGCCAGGCTCTGCACGATGAGGGACAGGCAGTCCAGGCTGGAGGTCGACGCCGCGCCGCCGGACGCCGCCTCGGAGCCGCGGCCGTTGGACGAGGGCGTCTGGGGGTCCGCGTCGGAGCCCGCGGGGCATCCTGGAAACAGAAGGCAGCATCGTTATCGTCGCCCTGGACTGTTCGGCGCTGACTGGGCCTCGACCGCGAGCAACGCGCGGTGTCGCGGCACGCGTGCCGGCCGCCGCGGTGCCGTCGCGGTGCCGTGTCTGGCGGGGTTTAATAGGTTTATATTTATTTGATGTCGCAGCACGCCGGCTCGTAGGTGGTCCCTGCTCCCCGCGTTCCTCGATGCGGTCGGGGCCGATGCTGCCGCTGCTGCCGCCCCCCTCCCCCTCCACCCCGCGGCGCTCGCTGCGCTTCGCGGGTCCACTGGTGGACGTCGTCTGCGTGCGGCACAAGTATTAATGCGAGATCTGATTTAGGAGCCGCTGTCGGGCCGCGATGGAGGGGCTGTGGGGGCTGGGGGGAGGGGGCCTCACTCCTGTCCTCGCATTTGCGCTTATACATAGCCATGTCCGCGCCGTGCCGCCGTGCCGCCGTGCCGCCGTGTGCTGCACTGTCTCAGACTCGGGTCTCGGGGCGCACCATCCTTTGGGCCGCACCTTCGCATCCGCGTTGTTCTCGGAAGACTGAGGCCCGTTAAAAAACGAGTCGGAAAAACACAATGAGTTCGTCCAAAATGCGAGAATTGTCGGCGGGATCGGAACTTATGACGACGCCAATGAATTTCGGCGGTAACTGCTCCACGATCCGCAATGCATCGGACGGCGGGGAAAAGAGGGAGGCGGGGGTAACAGAAGGGAGTCGACGGCGCGGGGAGTGACAACAACTAACACTGCACGACGTACGGTTATGCCCCCGGCCGCTAAAAGCCGGGCGAGGCCCCCGCCCCCGCCCCCGCCCTTCGCCCGCCCCCGGCTGCATGCCCCCAGCGACATAACTTGGGCCTTTTTTCTTCAGCCTTTCCCCCCACATGCGGGCCGGGCCCTAGGCCGGGGCTTACACAAGACGCCACTTGGCCGCCTCGTTGTCTAAATACCACCGGCGGTCGAGACACCTCCATCGCCGTCACGACGTACGCGAATCGTAACATGGCGGCAGAAATGTTTTGCTGCGTGTCGTGGTGCCGTCGTCGTCAGTTTCAGTGCATTAACTTGGGCGCAGTAAAGAGGCAGCACGTGGCACGACGAGTCTCTTCGAGTCTCTCCTCGAGACCGCGTTGACGGCGTCGAAGGACAGTGGCGTAGCTAGCAACAGCTAGCCCGTGCTTCGGGGACTTGGGGTGGAAGGAGTTGACTTCGAAGCCCGCCGACGCCGTGAACAGTAATTCCGGGAGTCATTTTCGTCGCTTTGTCTCTCTTGCACTCACGGAGTCCCGTACAGGTGCAAGAGAGACAGCGCGACGAAAACGACTCTCAGAATCAGTGCACTGGCGATGCAGGTGCCGTTTGACGCGCAGGCATGAATGGGCGATGGTTGGACACGGGCGTGAGAATGGACCGAACGGACTGGGCCGCCCAGGGACCTGAGGGACCTGTGCTAACGCGCAGCTCAACGTGCAGCCTGAGACGGAAGTTGTAGGGTTGTTGCGGGAGTGGAAGTCCCCGGGGACCGCCGGCAGAGCGCAGGGGAGATCAGGGGGTCACAGTCACGGGGGAGGGGGAGGGGGAGGCGCCACTGGGAACCGACAAATTTTCAATGCGCCCATGCGCCGAAAGGTCTCGACAAAATCGCTGTCGATTCCTTTCACTCAAATGAAATAAACAAAGGAAAAGCAAATGATGAAGACAGAGAAACGACTTTTGAGCACCCCTTCTCTCTTTTCCCCGCCGAGGCCGAGGCCGGGTGCGCGGGGGGAGAGGGAAGGCGTTGCCGACACAATTAACACCGCCTAAAAATATTTCCAAATAATTGGGTGGAGCGTCGTGGCGCGCGCTCAAAATTGAACATAAATTTCAGGCATTGTGGGCGTCTCTGCCGCGCTCTGCCCGCACGGCGCACGCGCTGCCCGAACCCGTTTCTTTCTTCCTACCCTTTTTTTGGCGGGGGATTTAATTTACGGCATGCCGAGCCGGCTCATCAACCTGCCGGGCAGGGGGGCAGGGGGGCAGGGGGCAGGGGGGCGTGGGTGCCCCCGTCCGGCCGGTGTCACGTCGAAAGGGTTCTAAAACACGCTCCGATTTTTTTACGGGGCAGTTTTGAGGCCGTTTCCCGCGTTTCACGCACGGCAACCCCCTTAATAAGTAGACTACAACGGGGTCTTTTGCCTCTCTGTCCCCCGCCCCGCCCCACCCCGCCCCGCGTCCGCCAAGCCAGGCGAAGCACAGCGCGCCAGCGAAACAGCAAAACCTCGCTGTCGCCAAAACACAACACTGCCACGCGTTCAGCGAGGGGACGCGCCCAAACAAACATTATCGATATGTATGCACACCGCCAAACGAATCGGCAAAAAGACGGCCGCTTCATGGCAAGAAACATCGTCGACGGCCGTTTGCGCTCCGCAGCTCCGCACATCGCAGAAACCCGCTCGCAGAAACCTGAACGCACTGCACACACTGCGCACCAATCTGTTTTTCCAGTGTGGCTGTGTGACACGGCACAGAAAAAAAGCTGGCAGGCGGCGTCCCAATGTCTCAATACGACGGCGCCTTATATAAATAATTCTCCCCGCCCCGCCCCGCCCCGTCTCGGCGGCCTGCGGGCTTTCATCCGTGTTGTGTGACGCAGGCGACACGGACCGCTAAATACCGCCTTGGCGGCATCGGGCGGCATCGGCCGGCATGCGAACAAACTGCACACCACCAATAAATCTCTCCCCGTGTGTCGCGCATCGCGTCGGCCCCCTCACCCCCTTCACCCCCGCCCCCGACCACGCCCCATTCTGCCCATGATCGCCAGCTCGGCGCGGTCTTGCTCATTTGCGCCCCCCCCCCAAAAAAAAAAAATTGGCATTTTTTAAAACTTTGTGACGGAATGTTGGTGCGGCCCCGAGTGTGAATCCATATCGTGTTGCACTGACGGTGCTCCCCCCTCCCCCTCCTCTCGGTCCTTGCCGCGCGCCCTCCCGCCCTTCGTCAAGTCGTGCATCATCCACGGGATCTAAACTCCCAAATTGTTGTTCTTTCCGTTTTGATCCGGAACGAATCGTGGATTATTATGGCTGGCGAGGCAGCCCCATTCGTCATCCCAGAGATGATGGAGGTTCATTATCACTTCGGCTGCAACGGGGATTGACACAGCGAACGTCGGATGTCGGCGGCCGCGAGGACGCGATAGACCCGCGCCTATTTCTAGACTTCCCAAAGCCTCCTAGACGCGCTAGACAGAGCGCCTCCTCCATGTGGGCCTGTTAGCGCGGTATACGACCTGGGCTAGCTTACGGCTGTAAAACGGAAAGTGGTGTAAAAGAGGGGTGCGGAGGGAAGTCCACCGGGGAGCATAGAAGCAGCGCGACGCTCCCTTGATGGCTTGATGGCTCGATGGCTCGGGGATGGGCGGGGCGTAGCGCGTAGCGCCACACTGTCCCACAAACAGCCGAGCGATTCAGGAGAGCGGTTTGTCGCTCTGTCTCTCTCGCACCCTCACGGAGATCCCCATGAGTGCGAGAGAGACAGCGCGACGAAACGACTCGTCTGAATGGCTCGGCAGGCTGACGAAACGCGGCCGCCTGGTGCTGCGGCTCGGTGCAAGCCTTTGTAGCCCAACGAAAAAGCGCAAGCGCCCGGAAAACGAGTTGCTTCTAAACAAGTTGCTGTTTTTCGGCGCGGTTTTTGGCCATTCCGTACTAAATCATGATTCATACACGCGGCGGGCAGGGCCCATAGCGGTGTCGGTGCAGTATGTGTCGTCTAGTGCCCCGCGCCGCCACGCCACGCCACGCCAAGGCAATACTATGACGGGCAGCGGCAACTGCAGAACGCCCCGCTAAATCAAGGCGGGCGTGTCGCGCCGCCGCCATCGGCCACCATCTAGAACACGGCCCGGGTGACCAGCACCAGCACCGCCAGCGGAGCGATGCCGAACGGCGCGCCTCGTCGCTGTCTCTCTCGCACCCACGCGCCCGATGCGCCCAGTGCGGGCGACGACGGGGAGACGGCCTGCAGCACCAGCGCGGCGTAGCGCGGCGTAGCGCGGCGTGGAGGGCAAAGGGTGGAAGGGTGCAGCGCTCTTCGGTAATTGCGCATTGTGCTGTCCGGCTGCCTGGGAAAGGCGACCACGTTAAATCACGTAAAACGAAAATACTTTGTAAATGGGCAATTTTGTAACAATTCGAAGAATAATGGGCGTGTCGAGAATCCGGTGTGGATGTCACGCCGTGGGAAACAGTGTTCGTTGGCGGGCACGGCGCTCCCTCTCCCTCCTGCAGCCCAAGGAGTGCGTGGCCGAAGACATCTCGCGGCATCTCTGGTGGCGGGCCAGGGCCGGCAGGGCCTGCAGGGCCAGGGCCTCGAACGGGGCGGGCCGCATGCACGCCGCACCGGGCCAAAAGTGGGACAGGGTTGGAGGGGAGAGGAGGGGGAGGGGACGGAGAAATCTGCCCTAGTTTTTTCTTTATCCCGCCGCATCTTCACACAGTGCGGCGGTACGGCGGCTCACGGCCACACGTGCGCGCCATGCAGTGCCATGCAGTGCCATGCACGACGCGGCAACGCACACAGACGCAGGGCCACGCAGAGCGCCGTCGCCAATTCGCGATAGCAGCGCGGCGCGCACTGCGCAGGGCGGAGGAGTCGGGAATGATCTGCCTCAGTAGTTGATGGGCTGTGAAACAGAAGGAGATAGACGCCACCGCACCGCGCCGCGCGCCAGAGGGACCCGAGAGGGACGAGGGAAAAGACTTCCGGGGGAGGGGACACGTGCGCACGGCATGTCTGTCCGTGTGTCCGTGTGTCCGCCCGTCCGCTCGTCCGCTCCGTGTCCAGGAGTTCGGGACGCCTGCCGGCCTCGCGTGGCGGTGCCGCGACACAGCCGTGCGCGGCGGGCCGGCCTACCCGCCGATTCGCAGGCGCACAGGGCCGCCTGGAGCGCGCGCCGCGCCGCGCCTGCACGTCGCTGTCTCTCTCGCACGCACGTGGCGTCTCCAGCAGGCGCGAGAGAGACAGAGCGACAGTGCGGGATCAGTCTGGCGGACTCGGGCGGGCACGGCACAAGGCTCGCTTTACCTGCGATAAATGGCTTGTATCTGCCGGCGTATTTATAGAGGGAGGGCGGAGGGCTGTCGCCGCGCCGGCCTTCGCTCCGTGTCACGTCCCGTCCGCGTCGCGTCCGCGTCGCGTCCGCGCGGCGCGAGGGGCTAAGGACGGCGTCCGCCCCAATTCAGACGGACCGCGCCAAACGCGCCGATACCGCGAGGCGACGCGACGCGGAAATAGACTTCGCCGCGACGCCGAGGCTGGAGACGCGGCGACGCCGACACGCCGAGACAGGCGATTGGACGAAGCAGGTGCCGCCGCGCCGCCCGGCGTGTCGGAAGCCGTCGGCATGATCCCGGCAAAGGACGTCGCCGAGGAGTGAGAGTGTGCCGCTACACTTTTACATCGGCATGGCGCTGTTAGTCCCACCGCCGCCTCGCCGCGCCGTTTGATGAACGGCCGCGAGGGACGAGGGCCGCGGGCCACGGCGCCAGGCTCCCTCCGTCTCGCTCGCACCCCCGCAGAACCGCGGAACGCCGCGTGAGTGCGAGCGAGACGGCATCGGGCGGCAGGGCCAGGCAGGGCCAGGCCGGGCACGGCACGGCCAGGAAGCGGTCTCTAATTGGCTGTTAGACCGGCAGGGCCGCGCCAAGCCAGGCCGGGCAGCGAAGGGCCGCGCCAGCGCCACCAGTCATTTTCTTCCAAAGAGAGATGGCACAGCCCGGCGAGCCTGGCGCCGCTTTGATCTTGCAGCGTGCAGTAATCGTGCGTGCGGTTTAACACACGTGTGAGAATGGCGCCAAAACGGCGGGCCGCCGCGCGTGCCGCGTGTGCTGCACGCCTGCAGGCCGCGCCGAGCAGCGCGCTGCGCGATGAGGGATGGGGAGGCGTGATGCCGACCGGGGGGAGTTCGCTTGCTCCTCGACGTAAAAAGCCGGAAGAGAGAAGACCGAGAAGCTCTTCCTCTCCTTCCACAGCGCCTGGACGCTGCACGTGTACTCACCGGACAAGGGGGTGAATCGGTGGATGGAGTCCGTGAAGGAGCCCACGCAGCTGGCCCCTCGGTCCGACACGTAGAGGGGCGTGGTGGCCTGGAAAAGGAGAGGTCCATTTTTCACTATCCACTGCTGCTACACGCCGCCGCCGATCCTTTCCTTGACAGAGTAAGTTGACATTCGGTCGACGGAACGTGTCTTACAAACGTCGACGCGCTCCCCTTGCCGCTCGCCGCGCTCGCCGCGCTCGGCCCGCAAGCTGCAACGCCCCCGCCATCAAGTCGGTGGGGCGTGCGTCGTTTTCCGCATTGGTTCACACACACACGCACGCACGCACGCAACACCCACACATGTGCGAGGGCCCCGCTGCCTGCCACTGCAGTGTCGCCCCCGCCCCCTCCGCCTCATGTCTCTATCCACGCGTCTTTCACACGTGCAAAATACACCCCGTCCCTTTTTCCTAAATGCATTTTGCAGCAAACGCGTTCGGAGCCAATCAAGCTCCGCTCTGTAGCGCGGCGTCCCCGCGCCTCGTCCGTCAGCAGGGGCTTATTAGAGGGACGCAAGGAGAGGCGGCGCGCGGCGCCCCGAGACCGAGAGACGCGTTCGGAAGCGCCGCTGTCGGCGCCCTTGTCCGCCGCGACGCCGCTCATTTGCAGGCCGCCGGCATGACGGGGGGCATGGGGGCGGCGGGGACGCGTTGCGACGGCCGTCACTCTGGCCGCCCCGGCCGTCTAATGGACGTCGTGGGATTGGCCTATCAGGGCCCGTCGGCCCTGGAGGTGTGGAGGTACTCGTTGGCGTGGCGGGCCTCGACGCGGTGCTCGACGCGGTCCCGGACACGGTCATCGCGGTGCTCGACGCGGAGCACGACACGATCCTCGCGGTGCTTGCCACGGTACTCGCCGCGCGGTGCTCGACGCCGACGTGGTCCTCGAGGCCGTGCCGGCGGTGTCCCGCTGGCCGGGCGCGAGGTATGCCGTCTTCATTAGGGAGTCGCGTGGGGCGTCGCCGCGTCGCCGCGTCAAAACCTCGCGGGGCGAGCGCGCGGAATGCAACACACACTTTTGGCGCAGCCGCTTGACTTGCGCCGGCGAAATTTATTTCACGTCGCGGAGGGGGCGGACGGCGTCGGCGGCGGCACGCAGCACGGCGCAGCGCGGCGGTGCAAAACCAGCGACACCGCGCAAAGGACCGCCGCGCGGCGGAGCGGAGGGCGGCGAGTGGAGCAACGATGGAGACAAATGGAGCGATCAGCGCGACGCGCGCAAGAGTGTGACAAACACGCCGCCGCTGCCGCCGCCGCCGCCGCGCCGGACACGGCTTGTTCCACACGTTTTTGGACGACATGCGCGCCAACTCACGAAATGGTGGTGGAGGGCGCCGGCGATCTGCGGACACTCTCCGCAACCCGGACCAGACGGCGGCTCCAGGGTGGTTTTCAATTTCCCCCGCGTCGCGCGTCCTCGCGAACCCCAGACAAGTGGCGGGCCAACGCCCCGCCCCACCCCGCCCCGCCCCGAAAGCGAGCCTCGATTGTCCCCGATGACGGAGGCGTTTCCCGGCCCCAGCGGAGAGGGGAGGGAAGGGGCGAAGAGGGGGTCCCAAGTCGCAGGGAACACGGTGACACGCCGATTAATTCGACGTGGTATTCTGGGCCGGGATGGGATGAGCTTCGGGAGAGAGAGAGCCTACACGCTACACGACGGGGCGGGCGTGGCGCGGACCGCGCTGCCAGGGATCGCCAAGGACTCCAACGCGCCGCGGCCGGGCAGGGCGGCCACCGCCACCAACAGCCACCATGGTGCCGTGGCGCTATAAGGCGTTCCTTAGCCTGCTCGCTGCGACTGATATGGCGCTCTCTCTTCGCCTGGGGCATGGGAGAGGGGCACTGGACACCGCATGTTTCCTGCACTTGGACAAGGGGCTTCGGCTCTCGACGACGCAGGGCCATCGACGGATAGTGGTGATAGTTCACGCGACCCATCAGGGTTCCACAGCGAAGAGCATTTTCGGGGAGTACTTAATTTCGGCTGTGGGGTCGCGACAAGTTTTAGCCGCCTTTTATGGGTCCCGTGCGTCAGAAAAAGTTGAGAACCGCCGCTAGTTTGTCGAAATGGCAGTTGAGGCGTGCTTGGAATGCAGTGGCGGTGCCTGGCGGTGCGGAGCGCGGAGCAGGCCGAGTGTGTTGTGCCCTTGGTGCGGCATGGCGTCGCCGGGCGCGGGGTGGCGGTGCGGCGAGGGGCTCGGGCACGGCGTCATCCATTACCTGGCCGTGTTTGGACAGCCGAAATCACCACCCAGTTCCCCGGGCAAAGGCACCGCGCCGCGCCCTGCCGCGCCCCGACGCCCGCGACGCCTCCAAACGCAGAGCACACAGCGGCACGCCGCCGCCAGGACGCCAACGTCAAACCCACGCGGACGCCGTGCGCCGACACCAACCGACGCCATAAACAGGAAAAAAATAGAAAAAGAAAAAACGACACGACATTTTGCCAGCAGCGCAGTGACGATGGGGAAAAGAAAATACATGGTGAGTCACGCGGCCTGCCGACATGTTGCCGGCGGCCTGTTGCTGCAGTGCGAACTGGCCCCTGATTACTCATCACGAAACCGCAACGAAGGCAAGGCACGCCGGCCCAGGCCTTGGCCCAGGCGTGCGCTCCCCCTCGCCTTTCACACATGCCCGAAGGAAGAAGTGGCGCAAAAAGGTCACGCTGGTGCCACGCACTACGCACGGAGCGCGCGAGAACACCCAGATCGTTTTTGGTTTGAAAGTCTCGAGAGAAGATCTCGCGGAGCTCGAGTGGGGTCGGGTCCTCACCGCCAGGTCGTGCTGCGGGCCGCTGCCGGGTGCGCTCTGTGCGCCCTGCAACAGGTCCTCCAGGCTTTCGATGTACTCGATGGCGTTGCGGAGGATCTCCACCTTCGGCAGCCTCTGGTTCGGGTTGGTCGACGTGCGCCTCTTCAGCACCTCGAAGGCCTCGTTCACCTGCAACACGCGCCAGTTTTGCCACGCGTTTAATTTTATTTATCAATATTTTTAAAAGCGGTACACCGCTTGTGTTCCCGCTGACTTTACCTTCCGTAGACGCCGCCGCTCCCTGAGGGTGGCGGCCTTCCTGCGGTCCACCGTGACCGTCTTCTTCTTGCACGCCTTGCACGCCCACAGCAGGCACCGACGGGATCCGTGCGCGCCGCCGCCCGCCGCCGCCCCCGCGCCGCCCAGAGGGACGCGCTGCGCGCCGGCACCCGCCTCCTGCAAGGAGCGCGATGATGGGAACACGAACAAGGCCGGCTGGCTGGACACTGACTAGAAAACGAAGACCTCTGAATGTTCGCGGTCGAGGGCATCGCGAGGTCGGGGACCGCGAGAGGTATTGGCTTTCTGGCCAGATTGTGGGTACTCGGTGTACCCGCTACTCACGATGGAGGCCGGGCTGAGCGGGGCGAGGATGTGCGGCACGTGCTGCTCGCTCTCCGACCCGGACGACTGGCTGTCGTCATCGTCGTCCACGTCGCCGTCCTCGTCCACGTCCTCGTCGTCCTTGCACCTGCGGCAAGACCGTCACGGCGCACATTCACAAGCAGCCGGTGTACTCAGAGCGTCACGCCAAAACAAAACCAAGAGCGGGGATTTGAACCCGCGCGCCCCAGGCCGCCCCAGGCCGCCCCAGGCCGCCCCAGGCCGCCCCAGGCCGCCCCAGGCCGCCCCAGGCCGCCCCAGGCCGCCCCAGGCCGCCCCAGGCCGCCCCAGGCCGCCCCAGGCCGCCCCAGGCCGCCCCAGGCCGCCCCAGGCCGCCCCAGGCCGCCCCAGGCCGCCCAGGCCCCAGGCCGCCCCAGGCCGCCCCAGGCCGCCCCAGGCCGCCCCAGGCCGCCCCAGGCCCTGCACCGCGCGAGTGCGGCGCCGCTGGCGTCCTCGTCCTCCCCCGCCGCGCGTTCCGGTCGTGGTTTCCACACAATGGGCCCTCTGTGCTGAGTGCTCGGCCGGTGACCGGATCGGCCCGGCGGAACGGCGGAACCGGCGACGAATAGACGCGAGACGCCACGAGGCACCGGCGTCGCGGCGTCGCGGCGGCCAGGGCGGCCATAGGGCGGTCACGGGAGTCCGAGCGCGGCGGCCGCGACTGCCTTCCTAGAGCACTAGATCCTAGATCGGACGGAATGCAGTTCGGCGCCTTTGATCTCCTCTCTTCTCCCTCGCCTCGCCCGACAAATCACTGCAGCGCTTCCGCCGGCCAGCCTACACGTAGACGAAGGTGCACGGCCTGGTCGGGGATGCCGTTGGCAAAGTGGGCGCATGGTGGGCGGAAGCGGATTCGAGTCGTGCGGTCGGGGCCCTCGGGGCGCACGACACGCCCTCAGCCATGACACGCTACATCGCCTCCTGGAGCGAGAAACAAAACAGGAACGGCACGTCCGAGCCCCCTCGCCAAGCCCCCTGCAGCGGCCCTGCCGTGTCGTTTAGGCCCCCCGCCCCTCCCCCTCCCCGCCTAAACGGCGCGACATGGGGCAATGGGGAGCGTGAGAAGGCCGAAGGGAGCAGGGCTTTAAACCCGAGGAAGCGACTCGACATGACGAGGAGATGCACTCAGGGAGTATTATTCGCCTGGGATTTATAGCCGAGGGGTTCTCCCTCTTCGCTGGCGCCTCGCCGCGCCGGCGCCCGTTTCCGCAATGCCTCAATTTTCACCCCAAACGCTGTGGGACAGAGGCGTCGCAACAGGCTGACTCCACACATCGTCTGTCTCTCTCGCACACCTCTCGCACCACCCCATGAGTGCAAGAGAGACAGCCAGAACAGCTACGCTGCGCACGACTCGAGGGAGGCTGGCGATCCATCCGGCCCACAGGACGTTCAGGACGTGAGGCTTCTGCTAATTCCGCCCCGTGGACAATGGCAATGCATTTGCAATCCCCTCCCCGTACCTCCGTGTGCAAGGGTTGCCGCCGTGTCTCGAAGCGCCGCGGCCGCTGCAGCCGCTGCTGCTGCTGCAACTGCTGCTGCTGCTCATGCTGCCGTGCAGCGGAGAGCTGGGGGCGAACCTGTTGCCGTTGCTGCTGCTGAAGCGACAGCTGGCCTGCTGGTGCTGCTGCTGCAGTGCCAACGTCATCATGCCCTGCACCGCCCGGACCGCCTCCGCCGTCCTGGAGCCGTCGCCGGGTCGTCGTCAGTCACGGGGCGCGGTCACCGAGCCCCCTCGCGCTGCGCATCGCCGCGCTTCTGGCCACCACGCCGCGGTACGCCGCGGGACGCGGCGTTGGGGAGGCCTCGGCGCGAGCCTCGGCGGCCTCCTCGTGCGACTCCTCGTCACGACGCCGTTAAGGCCCGGCCACGACAACTCGCGGGGGCCCAGTCCACCGATAAAGTAGGCGGTTGTTACGGTCACCGCGGCTGACGCGGCTGTGGCAGTAGCACGGCGGCCACGACACTGGTGACGGCTTGAGCAAATAACGGCCGCGGTGGTGTGCTGTCCAGACACACTCCGCTCACGGACACACGCACTCTCGCACACGCACGCACGCACGCGCCGCGGCTCCAGCTACCAAGGCGGCGCGGCGCCGGGGTGTCGTCGACGGGACGGGGGCGGAGGATGGACTAAAGAGCCCGGACCCCAGCCCCGGTCGGTGGCGGTGGTCGGGGCCCCAGCCCCCAGCAGCCCCAGGTCCCACCGGGCGGCAGGGCAGACTCGGCCAGGCTCGGCGACGTCTCGGGGGCGGAGGCGGAGGCGGAGGCAGGCGGAGTGGAGGGCGGTCCTAGTCCCGGGGTAGGGCGCGTTGGCACGCCCGCCACGGCCCCGCCCCCTCGCGCGGCAGCCTCGCAGTTAGCAGTGCAGACGACGCCCCCGGCAGCCGTCGCACCGCCCCGAGGTGGCCCCCCTCACCCCCACCCGCCCCGGGGACAGCCAATGGGCACCGCGCTCATGCGTGTATTTAGGCCCCACCGGGTACCGCCAAAACGCTGCGGCGCGCCGTCCCAGGCCGTCCTTGCCAATTTCGGCGCCAGCACTGCTAGCCAGCGATTTGCTTGACCAAGTGTTCATTACTGTTTATCACGGCTTGTAGTGAAGGACCTGGATCGCTTGCACGGAACCAGGCCAATGAAAAATGTGGTCGAGAACGTCGAGGTGTAGATCTTCAGATCTGCGCCCGACGTTCGAAACTCGAGCTTCTTTTCATTTTGCAGTATCGCGACAGTGCAATTCGGCACTTCAATGTGGACTTCGGCTTCCTTAGTTCCAAGCGGGAAGGGGTGTTCTCCTCGACCGAACGTCAGATGTGTCAGATTAGTGCTGCCAATAGATGCACCAGTCCCATGCCTCACTTCATTCATACGCGGGCTTCCCTGCAGTGTGGACAAGTGAGCGCAGAGCCCCAATTTTGCCTAATTTGCTTAGCACGGCTTTGGACAAACCGCTTCATTCGAACGCGTGCAGAGTCCCCATCACAACATTGTCATTTTAATGCCACAAGGCATTCTGACTTGCTTTGTTAAGAGGATATCCAACCAAGAGAATTGAGCGTTTTGGATTTGGAAACTGTGAAATGAAAAAGGATTTTTTAAATGATGGGGGGAAAAAAAGCCTTCTTTATTTATAAAGTATTTATTGTGATATGAGATGCTAAAAATAAAATGCAGAAGACAGCATGCTTTGATCACAGTTGCAAACAGGATTTGACTAAATAACAAATCATAGAAGTTGATTGAAAAGAGAAAAAAAAGTTATGTCAAAAACCAGCAGAGAAAGCATTATATAAAGCAACCACAACCACTGGGATAATCAATAAACCCCACAGCACTAAGAATATTGTCAGGCAACAATATAATTGGTAGGGAATTAGAAAATTAAAGTATCAACCCTACAGTAGAAGAAAAATAATGTTAACTTCTTCATTTATAAAATTAATAAAAATTAGTTTTTAAGTTTGTTAAATATTAAAGGCTAAGAGGATTTACAGTACTTATAGGTAAGAACAAGCAACATAAAGACAAAGTTATGTTTAACTAGCAGTTATGAGGCCCTAGTCTTTGTCTGAAAGATAGCGATTAAGGCTTGGTTAGAAGATGAGGTCGCTTTCCATGACCTTCCACAGCAGTTGAACATCTTTCAGCAACATCAGTACCAGACATTTGAGCACTTCTTTTGCGAGTGACAGGTCCGGAGGCATTGCCGGTAGGAGAGGACTGCTTCAGAAGTTCAACATCACTGAAGATCACTTGAGCTCCACCAGAGCAGGTCGGCACAACATCACCCTGGAACAAGTTCAAAATTAGACATTCATTAAGGACTGGGTTCATTTGATAACAAACAACAACTGTCACATCAACAGTTAAAAAGGCCTACCTTGTATAGGCGGGTTTCCAATTCTCCATCCGTATCTTGCTCTTGAGTGGTGAGGCAGTAGCGTTCAGTGCCTTTTGTAATATCCTTGACATCCGTAAGCTTGGTAACAGACTTACGTTTCCTCATGTTCGGCTGGAACACAGTGTTCAGAGGCACTGGCGTGGCAGGACAGTGGTCCAACCATTTCCCGGTTCCCTCAGCAGAACGTGAACGACGGTGGCGAGGGTTTCTCAGGGCCATACCCATCTGAGATGTGTTCAATGTCAGCAAGTTTCACCATAATTAAAGGACATTTGGATAATGTAATTAATCAGACAACTTACCCTTCTTGAATCAGCTCCAGGCGTCCGCAGCAAAAATGTATTAGAAGACTGGGTTGTGCTGCCATCTGACTTGGATGTGACATTAGCAGCACTGTTGGTTGATGAGGCAGTGCTTGGAACATGGACATCCTCCTTCAAAGCCCGCTGGACACGACGAATTTTCTCATCTTTCTCACGAACTTGGTGCTAAGAGGAAATAAACTACTATTAGAAACACTTTACAATGAGCACTCTGGGCAGGGCAGGGAGGAGGCACACTTACACGAAGGGCTTCTCTGTCTCTCTCCAACTTCTTCTCATACTCATAAGAGATCTTTTCTTTTTCAACAGCAACTTTAGCATTGTATCTATGTTTAACTTTCTGTTTATCAATAGCGCTCTGAGACAAAGCCAATTCAAGATCTGCCTTTTCTTGCCTCAAAATCTGATTTTGCTGCTCTTGCTCATCATATCGGCGTTGTAGTGTTGAGTACTGCCTCTCCATTGTGCCCAATTTTGTTTGAACAGCACGCATCTAAATTAACAAACGTTGATTAACAAATTGCAATAATAATGCTGTTGCACACAAGTAAGCATTGATGAGTAAACTACTTACTCTGCTGCGTTCTTGGTCAAGTTGAGCTTGTATGGATAAAACTTCTTGCTTTGAAAGAACATTTTCACGCTCTACTTCAGCCAGCAATGCTCTGAACTGTTCTTGTTTTGAAATCAGATTTTTCTGAAGCATGGTTCGATGTTTCATTCGTTCCTGCAAGAACTCTTTGAGTTCGGATATAACCTTGGCGCCATCTGGTCCGAGAATGTCCAGGGAAGGTAAATCCGTGGCCAAGCTGCAACAAAGAGAGTTGGATGGGAACCTGGACAAGGCCACACAGAATTCAGTCTCTTGCTATGAGATTCCTTCAAATCTTACCTATAAACAACATCCACATCCACAGGAATGTTTGAATTGATACCATCTTCTTGTAGCTGTCGAACAGCTGACCGAAACACCTAAGCCCAAAAACATTTATTGCACATCTTCTATTTATTACAGACAGATCAAAATTGATATCCTTTAAATACTTTAAGTCAACAGAAACTTAGAAAGCAAGGAAACATCATGGCATTTAAGGTGCACAAGGTATATATGTACCTGATTAGCTTTCCTTCGACCAGGAGTGAATCCAAAGTCCACACGCACAGGTGTAGGCCTAGCTATCTGTACTTCCTGGCTCATTTCAGCAAATTTCATGACTTGCTGCAAAATAATGACACAAACATTTTAGATTCATTGCAGCTCCAACACGTACACAAATACATGTGTGTCTAAGTATGAGTGTCAAACTAGCAAAACAACATACCATTGTCTCATCATAATCTTCAGCTCTAGGATTAGCACAAATTATCATACGAACTTCACCTTCTCCATCTAGGTAACTCTTAAACAAATGGGTAAGTTTGGAGTCTCTGTATGGGACCATTTTATTGGACCCTGTCAGCTGGTTTTCCCGCAGCATTTCAAGACACGAGCGCAGTGTCATTAATGAATTATTGATATTTCCTATGGAATTGAGGTTAATATAACAAAAGTTGAAACATGAGAGAGTTTGGTAGAAAACAAAAAAGGAAGAAAAAGCATACCTGCTTCCCTGAGCCGCTGACCACTGTTCTTGGTACGATTAGTTCGCTCACACCCAGCCAGATCAACAAGGGAGAGCTGACTGATCAACATTCCACCCTTTTCCTGAAGAACATTTTCACCATGGTGATCAAGTGGAGCCTGAAAGAGAGGGTCAGTTGTTACAGCAGGGGAATTAAAAGGAGACCACACAACTCAAACTCTACACCTTACCTGAACCAGCCTAATAGAGAAAACAGAATGACTCCGACTGGACTCAGCATTTAGTGTAGTATGGGCCATGCGTTTCTTTCTTTGTCCTCTGTAAAAGGCTTCAAAAGCTTCTTCTGGTGACTTTACTTCTATCTCTGTCACTCCATGCACATACATGTTTTTCAAAGCATCTTCCCTGAGTATTTTCATTTGCATTGACCTAGAACAATATTTGAGGAATTTCATTACATAAAATTTTAACTAAAGAAAGGCAACCAAAAATCATAGTGTAAAACCCACTTTGTCCGGAGCATATCTTCAGTTACTTCCTCCAGTAGATCAAAGACACTGTTGTTGTAGATTTCAACATAAGTGACAAACACAGCAAAGGTATTGTCTTCGCATACAACATCCAGTGTTGTTGTATCTGGCTGGCGAAAATGTAAATCTGGATCAGAATTCCTAAAGAATAAAAAACCCGAATTACAAAACACATAAAAATTGAATGCCTTGTAAGTTGTGACAGAAGAATAATAGATATTATACTAACTTTCTTGGGGTTTTGATTGGTCTTGACTCTAAGTTTCTCATCAACTCATGCTGCCTTTCTTGGAGAGCATCAATATCACTTTGTATTTCAAAGCCATTCATCCTGTCTGCTTTGAATGTGTACTTTTTGGCCTGAAAAAACAACTTAACTGATTAGCACGAGTTACAAAAACAAACCAGAGATACTTGAAATAAAATTATCTAGAATGATACCTGGAAATGGGCAATGCTGTTGAATATAACATCTAAGGAACGGGGCATAATACCTCCATCTTGAGGTTCGCCATTCATAGTATGAGTCTTTCCACTCCCAGTTACTCCATAGGCAAACAGAAGACCATTACGCCCCTCAAGAAGGGACTTCACCAAAGGCAACCCCACGGTTTCAAAGACCTCTTTCTGACTAATACTTTCATCGAATACTCTATTAAATGAGTAAATAACATCTTTAGCTGTTCCTGCTCGGTAGTTAGCAGACGTATCTGGAGGGGTTACTTGGATGGACTGTTCTGATATGATCTTCATGCAAGATTCATCGGATTCATTTTGCATCGGTCGGAGCCGACAAAAAACTTGCACTGGGTCTTTGGAGAAGCTTTTTGGCTTGGCGGGCGTTTTCTTGGGTACAGCTCTCGTCCTCCTAAAAAGATAGTGTGCAAAAATTAAATAAATTGATCAAATCCACAAATGAAAGGGACATTATGAGAAATGGTAGGGTAGAACAAGAAATGAAATAGATCCTAATGGAAATTTTCGCCGTCCAAAAAAGCGTACATATCGGCGGAAAAAGAAAAGTTGCAGGAAGATAGAAAGTATTTCCATTACAAAAATAATATGAGAGTATTTAAAGGAGAAAAATACGAAAATAGTAAGATTGGTTAGCCGGCTTCTCAAAACGTTAGCCTTTGATAAGGAAGGAGCACTACTTACACAGGCTTCATTATGATGCTTGTGTTGTCTTCGATTAAATATGAATATTTATTTGATCGCGCATGCAATGGTTCTTCTAATCACTGCCAATAATGGTTTAAAAATAACTTAGAATGTTACACAGACCACCGTCCGCAGCAAATGCTCAGAAGTTTCAAACCCAACGAACTTTTCGTTTTGACTAACAGTCTGTCCATCTAGGAAACAAAATCAACATCTTATTTTTTAACCGTTTTCTCACTGAAAATTTCAAAATTTAAAGAAGATAAAAAATTAAATATTAAGGCAAGATACTTATTTCATGTCTATTCTGACTAAAAAGTACAAAAAAATGTGTTTGAAGTATCACTTAAGGTGGTCACATTGATTTGTTTTCCTTGAAGCAGACCGACCTTTCAAGAAGGCTACGGCTGTGCTGTCACACACACAAGAAGTCCCTAACCTCAAAACTACAACCAGTATTTGTCAACATTTGTCGAGTCAGGGTGGTTTAAGTTTCAGGAGTACTGTGCAAAAGAGACCATTATGGAGGAGCAAACGGCTTCACCCCATCCGGAGACTCTGGAGCAGCCCACTCCAGCCCTTCTCTCTGACATCTTTTCATTCGGTAAACATTTTATTTGATTTTGTTAAATAATTTTTTATTTTCAACTCTCATGTACTTTGTTCTCTTTTCAGTTGAATACATTTATGCCACCTTTGGGTGGTATATATTAGGTTTCATCGTTCTCTCTCTTTATCTATGGAGTAAGATTCAGCCTTCCTATGAGGCTTGGAGAAAGAAACGAGAAGAGGATGAATATGCTGCTCAAATACACAAGAGTGTGTACTGCTCTATTTATTTTTTGGAAGGACTCCATAGACTTCTATTTCACTCTTCATTTTCCGTTTCTCTTTCAGATCCAGATTTGTTTAGAGCCAGGCAAGAAGCCATTATTGCAGCACGGCAACGGATGCAGGAAGAGCATGACCGCCAAGCCAAAATCAAGGCTGAGAGGGCACAAGAAGTATGATGCACTACCTATTGGCTGATATTTTCCTTTGAGTACCCTCTCATGAAACCCTTTTTTATTGCTTTAGCTTGAGGAACAGAAGCGAGAAGAATGGATTGCTCGTCAAACAGGAACAGGTGGCCGGCGACTTGGTAATGAGCCATCTAAATCCTGTGAAGCTGTGCCAGGTCCAAGCAAAAAAAAGGATTCAAGTTTTAAGCCAGGTAAGGGAATATCCTTTCTCTGAGTAAATTTGCCATGTCCTTTTCAAAATTTACCTGTGGTTGCTGATTGCCTTTTTTCCTACTGTTTAGAGTATAACCCATTAATGGGGGCCGGAAGCTCTAGTGGATATCGGCCTCCCAAGAGAGGATGCCCCGGAGGAGGTTGTGGAAAGAAGTAAGATGGTTCAGAAATAAATGAACTGTAATCTCATTTTTATGGTGTGTTGTTACAGTACATCCCTCTTAAACTGTGTCCGCCTCAGCCATTTTCCTGCTTTAACCATTGCTAAAAAGAATTCACAAACCTAGTCAAATCGCCGAAAATTCATCCGCATTAACGGTCGCGATCGCGTGCAAGGCGGCTGACACGTTTTAAAAGGGATGCACTGTATTTGTTATGTTAAATTATCTTAAAATTTTGGTCATTTTGTTATCATATCTTTTTGTTGTATATGTTACCAAGCAGAAATTTTGTTGCTACATAACATGTGTGTTGACAACTAAGCCTGCTGTTTCCACATGATTTTATAACCATATCATTATCAGATTAATCAATAATGTTTTTTAACTATTAAACACTTTACAGGTGTATTATGAAGGTTTCCTTCTATAGACATTCCTTTCTTTACTTGTCAGTCATGTACTGCATTTTGTTTGAATTACTTTCCACTTAGATTGTTACCCGTGTTAAAAACTGACTTTGTATTAAAATAAAAAAAATTACAGAATCAACTTTTTAAGAATGTTTTAATTCAGATTGGAATATTTGGATAGTTATTGCAAGAAAATTGAAGATAATTATGTTGATGAGTGTTGGGCTTGACTCCAAAAGCCATGGCAAAGAACAGGTGGCATTTTTAAAACAACACGTAGAGGTTTCATATAGAATTCTAGGTTGGTGATTTCTTCTGCACTGTGTTATTGTATTTAGCTTGCTGCTCCATCCGAATTTGTTGCATTGACTTCACTGCAAGGAATATGGCTTCATTACTCATTATGCTCACAAAGTCCCATAAGAACTGAACTCAATTGAAGTCTTACCAACTGATTCCTTCTGCACTTCTGGAGGATCCTTTCTGCTTTCATCCTGCTGCATGAACAACACATGTTGATATAAAGTTGTGAAGCTCCTTTTCTTTAAAGGCATGCTGCTTCTAAGGTATTATTGGTACCTGAGTTTCTCGAAGTTTCAGCAAAGCGGCAGTCTGAGCAATCTCGGAGTTTTGTTGATCTTGCAACTCTCTAACCTGCTGCATGGTCAACCCATCAGACTTTCCTAGTGTATTTCCGATTAAATAATGATATTTGGCCATTTTCTCTTCGAGTTTCTTCTTTCTTATCTGGAAATTGAATGATATGTCAGCACAAGGAAGAGCTTTTTCCATTAAAGCTACTTTCTGAAACACAATTTTCAGTGCTTACCTCCGCCTGTTTTTCTTCGTAAATTGCAACTCGAGCCTCGTGGGCTCTTTCTTGAGCTGCCCTGGCATCAGTTGCCGAAGATGATCCACCCAGGCTGCCCCCAGAGCTTGGAACCGTGTATAGGCGCCTGGAAGTGGCAGTGGGCCTAGACGGCGGCGAAGTCACTGCCGCAGCACCAGCAGCACCGGCACTTTGGTTTACCACTCTGCGATGAGGCGGTGTCCAAGGATTCACATTGCGCGAATTCATTTCTCTAAGTTGGGAAGAATCCGTCACAAATCGAACGTGGGCGTCCGCGATACTATCAGATCAAAGACGCATATAAACGAAACACTATCTAACCCCTTGAAGCACTTCAGATGTAAACCAGGTATTCCCCTCCCCCTCCCACACCAAACACTTTAGGAAACACGAGGTCAAGAAAGCAACATATCCGTGAACTTGGTCGGGAGACAAGAAAGCACGATTGAATGACACACCCCTACCCCAGGAACTAGGCCAGGCAAAAATTATCAAGTTTGAATCACGTCACCCCATATTAACACGTAAATTATGAACGGGCTCTTCTGCGTAAACGTTGGCGCTATTGGAGGTACTACCGGACTCCCAGCCAATCAGAGGGCTCCGCTGCCACCCATCTTCAAGTCACAAGGGACTGCTTAGAAGGCTCTGGTGGTGATGTTGATAAAGACAAGACGTTCACGACGACACAGTTTTGACGTTTGACAGATGCAATATTTACGCCTCATCTCGGCTGCTGCTACGTGGAAAAGTTATCAGAACCTCCTTTTCCTGTTGGCTAGTCGCAAAACGGGTGTCTGTAATTTTAACTGGTGGGCGTGAGATCATTGCGCCAGTGACACCGAGGTAACCTTCGTTTATGATGTTTTGAATCACAGCAACCAGCCTTTGAACACCAATCATGGACAACCAAGGATCCGTGAGTAAAATTTTACATATGTTACTTGTTTTATTTCACTGGGGACATTATGTTGTTTTGTGACAGTATATTAATGTGTGTCTGTTTATAATATTCTTCTCGTTGACGCCTCTTATATTCTTCTATTTGTGCTAATTTTCTATTTTCTGCAAAGTTCTTATTTTAATTATTTTATTTCTTTTTCATCTTACATGTCAGGAGGAGCCTCAAGTCAACAGGAAAATACCTATTGAGTCATTGACCAAAGAGGATCTCATCAAAAAATACCGGCAAGCCATTATAATTGCTCAAAAGGCAAAGGAATCGAAAGGGGGTTAGTTGAAGGTTTAGAAAAACCTTAAAAATGTTGCTCCCATTAAAACTGATTTATTCTAATCAGAAAAAAATGCTCTTCCTGATCAAATTTTTTTTTCAGAACTGATCAAACTATTTTCTGAACAAGAAAAGGTTGTCCAATCTCTCGAAGAAAGGCTACAGAAATGTGAAGATGAGAAAACTAAGGTACAGTTTTTTCGTGTGTAACATTTTGAAATTTTTAAAAGGATCAGTGGGATATTCAACATGTCATTCTTCTTGCAGGAGGCTGATTTAAGAGCTGGCTTAGAGCATGAGCTCAAATATGCACAAGATACAATTGAATCCCTGAAGATTAATAGGGTACGTACATTTTCTTGCCTTCCGTAAATCAAAACTAAAATGTTCATTGAAAAGATGAAGTAAGTGCTTATTTCAGCAAATTTGGTTTCTATAAACTTTTAGGTAAGCAATGGAAGAGATAAAGAAGAAACGGAAACAAGTGAAAGTGTTCACCTGAAAGCACCGCTTGAATCTGACCTTGCCAATTGTCGCTCAGCAGAATTAGAATTGTCAAATGAAAAAATTAATGCCTTGGAATCTGAATTATTACAATCCAAAATTGACTGTCAAAGACTTAATGATTTATATGGTCAGGTTCAAAAGCTTGTGGATGAAAAAGACAATGAATTGAGGTGTTTACAAGAAGCTCAGGATAGGGACAAGGAGCTAAGTGAAAACACTAAAATGGATTTTACATCAAAAATCCAGTCCCTTCAAGAATCCTTAGACAGTGCAAAAAGGGAAAATATGGAAGAAAATTTAATAAATGAAAAAAAGATACACTCTCTTGAAGAATTACTGCTCAGTAAAGATGAGGACATCAAGAAACAAGAAGAAAGCATTTCCAAGATGAATGTGCTAGTAGAAACAATTCAAAGGGAACTTAATGATAAACAGGATGTCCTTGACCGCTTCAACAGCAAGATGAAAGATCTCGAAAACCAAGTTGAAGCTTACAAAACATTGCTTGATGAAAAGTCCTGCAAGAGTGAAAGCCAGGAGGTTGAAAAAAATAAAACAATAGATCATTTTAAAGAAGAAATTTCGAAAAAAGATCAAGAATTATGTTCAGCAGAAAACACTATCATGGGATTGTCGATTGAACTACAAAATGCCAAAGAAAATTTAGCCAAACTGGAACAGCTGTCTTCAGAGCTTTCATCTAAAGTAGATTTACTTGAATTGGAGAAAGGCACTTCCTCTGATAATATAGCTTCTCTTGAAAGGGACCTTGCAGATATGAAAAATAACCAATTGGGAGAGGAAGAGAAGCAGAGAACACTTGAGTTGGAGACTCAAGTTGGAGAACTTCAAGAGGCATTATCAGCAAAGAATAAATTGTTGAAAAGTAGCAAAGTAACTAAATTTCTCCTTGAATCTCAAGTAGAACATTTTACCACATTAGTAGAAGACCACACAAAACGTATCGAAGAATTGAAAAGGGAAAATGATGAACTTCAAAATGGTGTCCTTGAAAGGGATGAAGCAATGCAAAAGAAGTGTGAAGATATTTCCCATTTATCGACACGAGTTTCGGAGCTGGAGAATGAGCTGAGTGCTTTCAGTCAGGAGAGATCAGATTTGATTCATGTGAGGGACAAAATAAAAGAGCAGCTTACCGAAAGTGAAAATCAAATAAAAAGCTTTGAGGCCAGACACTCATCCAGCTTGCAGATTGAGCAAGAGTTGCGTGAGCAGGTAACTTCTCTTCAAGCTGTTTTGTCTAGTAAAGACAAATTAATCCAAGACCTTGAACAAGAGGTGTCAAAGCTAAAAGATTATGGTAAGTTCAATCAATTTTATGAGGCAAAATTCCACTCGAGGGGTACCTCACTTCGTCTAGTCAGTGTACACCCCTGACTCCAGTCACTGCCTTGTTTCAGTCTAGTCACTGAAAAAGTCGGCAAAACCACGTAAATTTGTCCCAATTTTAGTAGTTTTGCAACGCATTTCGTCATATTTTCAGTCTAGTCAAAGTGGAAATTGAGTATAGTCACCAGTCAGTGTACACCTGTTTTCGAAGTGAGGTACCCCTCGATTCCACTTTGTTTTGTTTTTGCCTTGAAGATCAATTTTATTTGAATTAACATTATGTGGAATTTGTTCTCTTTAGCTGCTAATGAATCAACAAACACTGAAGTGTCAAGTACATTCTCTTTGAGCCGTGCGGAGGAACTATCACGAATGAAAGATTTGGAGGACTCTTTTGAGGACAAATATACTAAGGTAAGTTTGTATCCCTCTACAATTTTTCAACTTGTTAGGATATAGTCTATAAAAATAGTTCTAACTTAGGTTATTTTTTTCTTATCTTAGCTCAGGGTTGTGGCTGTGAAGCTGAAGAAGAGAGTGACAGAGCTTACTCAAACACTCGAGATGGAACGTTCCAAAATGGGAACAGAAAAGTCGGACCTTCAAGCTAAATTAACTCAGATAGCATCACATGCTAAAACTGTGCAGGTAACTACTAGTATTATGCTTTGCCAGCCACTTAAATGAACGCTTCTGAATGAACTACTTTCTATTGTCCTTCTTAGACACTTCAAAATGAAGTGGACCGCTTGCAAGACTTGGTTGAGGAGCAGAAAAAACAACATCAGCAACTCTCCAAGGACCTTGAGTTGGCTGTGAAGGAATCTGCTTCAAAAAAATTCGAACTTGCCTCAGTTCAAGAGGAGCTTCAGCGCACTGCAAATGAAAAAAAGAAGTAATATTAAAAAAATTTCAGCAAACAAAACAACAATACTCATAATTTTTTACAGTTACTTATACAATACCTTGTTTGTTTTTGCAACAGCTTGGAAGTATCTCTATCCAGTTTGGAGTCTGCTCTCACACAAGCTGGTGGTCTCCAAAGTGAAATTGAGAAACTTCAGAAAGAATTGAAGGAAAAGGAATGCATTATAGAAAGCTTTAAAGAAGAAAAGCAGTCATTGTCTGAACAACTAGAAAAAGTTTGTGTAGATGCTAAGAAGAAAAGTGTCTTGAGCCTGGAGATGGCTGATATGGAGGTCTGTATACATATTTGTTGATTTACAAACAATAATTGTCATTAGTATTGCTTGATCTGTTACTTTATTGTTTTTTTAGAAATCTGTATCTGAGCTAACTCGTCAGCTTTCCTCTGAACGAGATCGTTTGAAAAGTTCTGAAAATGAAGTGCAACAAGGACGTGTGTCCCTCTCATCCCTGGAGGACCAGTTAAATAAAATAGAAACTAGTCTTGTAGACAAAGAAATTGAAAATAAGAAGCTGCATGAAAAACTGTCCTTGGCCAAAGAAGAAAGTGAAAACTTGCAAACCAAATTAAAAGAAAAGGAGGCAACTGCTGCGCAACTCTCCAATGATTTGGAGAAGCAGCGATCTCTTGTGGAAGAACTCAATATACAATGTTCCAATCTTGCTGCTAAGCAAGTGCAAGCTGAAGAACATGCTAGACATCAGATTGATTCTCTAAGTCGGCAGGTGAGATAGGGTGCAACCTACCTCGTTTGAACGTAACACTCTTGTAGATGTGTGACTGTAATCTCCCTTTCTACTCAGGTATTCCAGTTAGAAGAGCACTCCTCAGCTCTGAAAGGCTCTTATAAGGCCCTAGAAGATGAACTTGCCTCAGTAAAAACAGAGTTTGAAAACTATAAAGTACGTGCTCAAAGTGTGCTGCGTCAATCAACCAAGCAAGAGGATCGAATGATTTCTTCAAGTACTTTCCATAATGCTGAAGAGCTAGAAGTTGAAGTAGAACGTCTTCGTGTCAATATCAGCAACTTAAAGGAAAACTTAAAGCTCACAACGTAAGTTCTCAAAAACTCGGTTTCTTAAAACATTCCATTCTTCACACTTTTCTTTGTTATTTAATGCTGTTAGTGGGTTTTTTTCTAATTACTGATCATCATTGTCATTATTAATACGATGTCCATTAGCTCTCAGCTGCAAGCAGCACTGCAAGATGTTGGTGTTGAGAGAGAAGAGAAAATATGTGCTATAAAACAAGCTCAAGCATCAAAAGAATTGTACACTCAGGCAATTGAGCGACAACATGCTGCTGAAGAGCGTCTTGCTGTAGTACTTGAGGAGTCAAAACAGGCTAAACTTCACTCAGACATGCTCCTTCAATGTTACAAGGTTGGTTTGTGTATAGCTTCAAATTTAGATCGTATTCAGTTCCTACTTTATTGATCCATTCAATTTCAATATCCTGAAATTACATTTTTTTATCTTTCATGAACTAAAACAAAATATCTTATTTACAACAGCAACAACTTGATGATTTAAAAATAACTCATCAGAAGAAAATTGCAAGTCTCACAGAACAAATAGAAAATCTTCAAGCATCCATCACCAACCCAGTTTTGCAGCGAGTTGAAAGTGATCAAGCATCTAGTGTCCAGAGTGGTCCTTCCCCTGTTGCCGAATGGGCAGTTAACTTGTCAAATACTGCTATTTCAGACCCTGATTTGGCTCTGCGTTTATCCTCCTTGCAGCGGGAAGAAGGAGAGGTTGGCCAATATTTTATGATCTGAAACAAAAAATTGTTCATTTGCAACTTGTTTTTAATTTTTTTAATTCATCCCTTTATTTTTAGGGGTCTGAAAGTGTTGAATCTTTCCCATCACGTCGTATTTCTGTTACAACTCAAGACAGAAGACATGAGCTGGTGCCCCTAGATAAGCTCCTCTCATCTTCAACTTATCCTGAAGATGAATCTCCAGGTACAAACAAAAACCAGTAATCATGTTCTAAGTAAAGGTTATTGTAACTTCTCCTAACATGTCCATCTTTTACAGAAATGGCTCGGACTAATTCCTCTGACTTAGATGTAGATCTGCTACAGTCTAAACTTTGTGCATGCGAATCAAGAGCATCCCACTTGACTGCTCTACTGAGTGAGGCTGAAAGTGATGCTGCTCGATTATCACAATTAAATGCTGTTTTGAAAGAAGAAATCAGAAGACAGCAGCGCAGTGAAGAAAGAGCACAGCATGCTCACAACTTAGAGTATTTGAAAAATATAGTTGTGAAGGTTAATACCATTTTGCTTTAAGTGTTTCTTTGGCTCTTATCTCATGTACATACAGTGTTTTGGAAAGTGTAGTCTTTGCTGATTTATGATGCCATTTCATTTTCAGTTTATCACCCTTCAAAATGGAGATGAACGTCAACGATTAGTTCCTGTACTCAACACAATATTGAAACTCAGCCCTGAAGAGGCCAATTTAGTTGCCACTGTTGCAAAAGGTTTGAATTGCTATCCCTTTTTTCATTGATTTTTTCAAATTTTTGTTCTTAAAAGCTGTTTTTATCATAGTTTTTTTTTTCTTTCTCTCTGCAGGAGCTTCCCAAGGCAATGCTCCAGGTCGCGGATGGGGTAGTTACCTTCCTTTGCCAGGTTGGACTGGGTCTTAAGAAACACTATAGTACTAAGTCTTTTTAAATTCTGCTTGGTCTGTGATATGCCACCTGCAATGTAAATGTGCAGATCTCCAGAGCATTTTCAAACCACAATATTAATTCCTTGAATAATTTGATTATATAGTGCCTCTGTAGCTGGAAGTCAAAACAATGTATTACATTATTTACATTGCAATCCTTTTCATCATTTTGTTTCTGAAAAGCACGGATGGTCAATCCATTGTGTTAAGTATTATGATAAATTATTAAATTATTAATCCCTCTTGATATTGGTGATTGTGTGTGTTGGATTTTAAGTAATATCACAATGACCTTGGCTTTTCTGTGATCATCCTCAAATTATCTATCTAACCTGGTTTCATAATTTGATATGTGGCAGAGTACCAAGTAAAAATCATGTTCCTGCTCCTAAGCCTGATATTTAAGTATACAATGCAATAAATACAATTCAGTAGTACGCTTGTATTAACCTTTGAAATGTGATAGGTTTTGAAATAATGTTATATTTATTATTGGAAATGTAAGGAGTGTTAAAGTTTTGTGTTGGGGGGCAAGATGGGGTGAAATATTGCTTATTCGGTGCATGAATAACACCACAATAAATTACAATAAAGTAATCATTTTAAAAAATACCAATTCTATTTTTTTTTCTGACACCCGACTTCCCCACTGAAATTTGCTTTTTGAAGGAAGTTCCGGAGAGAGCAGAGCTCAAGTGAAATTTATGGGTTACTTGGCAGGTCAAAGATGTCTCTCAATTCTACTGAAAGATTCACACCATCTCAAGAGTGTAAGCCCTCTATGCTGTTTTCTGGATCCACACCCCTCTCCTCTCCAGAGCGGCTAGCTTCCGATCGTTCTATGAAAGCTAATGGTCAGGGTCGGAGTGGGACTGTACACGCCGGCTGGCGTTGTTTTCATTCTAGCGCGCCCCTCCCCTCGCTGCCCCCGCGCATCGATTTGCCGGGTGGCGTTGATGGTGGGGGGCAGGCGCCGGCGGGGTGCAGGGACTCTGGAAGAGTCGAAGGTCAGGGGCTCTTCGGCGACGCGCCATGAAGCCGCCGGGCCTGAAAAAGGGCCTGAAGGCCTGAAGGCCCCCCGCCCCCGCGCCTGGGCTAGAAGCGGCTAGAAGTCCAGAACGACCTCGTCGTCGGGGAGCTCCTTCGGATGCAGGCCAGGCATAGACTGGCATAGACGCGGAGGCCCGGTGCCGGTCTAGGTGCCGGGCAAGGCATGTCTGCCTTGCGTTGGCGAGGCCCAACAAGGCCCTTGCGACGGCATCAGTTCCCCAGAGCTGAGCATCTGCCACGTCTGTCCCGAAACTTGAAAGCGGTATCTTTGACAAGCAATGGCAGGCAATGCGGTTGCGGCGTCGGGTAGGTGCGCCTAGGTGCGCCGCTCCGCAAAACCGAGGGCGAAGGCTGAAGCCTTATCTAAATTTGGCGTGGATTATGTCGCCAAAGCAACGGGACCCCAAACCACGGCGTCCCGAGGACAAGACAAGTGCACACAGAGATGGCAGGGCGTTCCGCGTTCACGAGTGTGTCAACTGTGTCCATGCGGCGCCGCCTAGTGCGCCGCCCTGCGCCCTGCGGCCGGGAACTTTCCTGGGAAGGGGGCGGCGGAAGCGCCCGGCCTGACTGGCCTGACGCCCTAAGTGACCGGCCGCCCCGTTCTACCATTTGCAGTGTGTTCGTATTCCAAGTAGATTTCCAACCACGGTTCTCCGTCGTGGCTGTTTCCGGGGGCGACTCGCGAAACCTAAATTTTCCCTGAGGTGACAACCAATAAACGGGGCTGGGGACTTCCCTGCGTTGTTGGTTCTTAGCCTGCCCCGCCGGCGAGAAGGCTCACGGATAAAGATGAGGGAAGACTAAGAAATGGTGATAACGCGGCTGGGCTTGGAAAAGAAAGAGGGGGAGAGGGGGGACTGGGCCGCGCCAAAGATGCTCATCCTCCCCCGGTCTGCGGTCTGTCCGCGTCGCGCCCTCTCAGCAGCAGCAGTCAATGGCATTGTCGTCAACGGCTGTCAGTTGCGAGTCTTTAGTGTGTGTGCGCGGCTGAGTGTGAGTGTGGGTGACGGTTGCCTGTCCACCACTGTCCACCCTAGGATGCCCTGACGGCATCCGCGAGCGGCGAGTAGAGGCAGGGCGGCAGGGCGGCAGGGCGGAGGGGTGGCGAGGGGCTTCTTGTCGTGACGATCGGTTCGAGCCGTCGTCGTGGTCATCGTGGTCGTCGCGGTCGTCGTGCGAAGCGAGTTCGGCGGGGAGCCGTCGGGGGAAGCGGGGTCTCCGTCAACGCCAGGACCCACCCCCACCCAGCAAGCAGACAGCGGGCCGGACCCAGCGCACCCCTCGCGCCTCGCGCCAAGATGCTCCCGTTGTGGAGGGGCAGGGGGCGCCACCGCCACCGCGGCATGTCGCGGGGGTGCCTACGGAGCTTGCGGCGGTTCAAGACGGACCGGGGACGGTGACGGGCAGGTGAGTGGAGCACCTTGTTTCACGCCGAGCGAGTTTAATGGGAACCTTCCCAGAGGGGCGCGCGAGAGTCGAGATGTTTTGATGTGTAGCTGTGGGTCTTTGTCCGCGTCCGTTGTCGATTCGTGGGAGCATCGCCGCCGGGCTTTATCGCTTGTCTGGAGTCTGGGGCTCCACGTCGGGGACCCACGTCGTGGGCCCACGTCGGGGTCGCACAAAACGATTCAAAAGAAGGGCCAAAATAACAAAACCCCGTCCCCGTTCGGTTCCGGCGTGGCGTCCCGGATGAGCGCGGTTACCAGTGTAGTGCATCCACGCTGCGCCGTGCGGCCGAGCAGCCTTGGGCGAAATAGCTGGGCGCCGGCACTCCAGCACGGCACCAGAAATGCATGAAACGCGCGAAGGCCGCGAAGGACGAGGGTGGCCTTTGGAAAGCACTTGCAGTGGCGATGACGACGGAATGGCGAGCAAGCCGCCCCGGCACCCCGGCAGGCTGACGTAGGCAGGCCCGCCCGGCACGCGAGCGGGCCGGCGGCCTAGGCGACAGGGGCTGGGCTGGGCCCTGGGCTGGGCCCTGGGCTGGGCCCTGGGCTGGGCCTCGGCGCCGCCGTGGTGCTACGCCAAAGTCACTCACGCCAACAACACCGACCGGCAGGGCGAGGCCCGTTTTGCACTTGGCGTGGAGGGCAGTTTGCCGTTGCCGCGGCCGGAGGGCCAGCCGGCCGTCGCCAGGGGCGCATCTCCTCGCTCGCAAGTGCCATCGGGGATCGGGGACCGGGAATCGGGACGGATCGACGCGGCGATGCAGTCCGCAGCGCAGCGTTGGCGCTTTCCAGCCGACCCTCGCCCCGTCTGCGGCCACATCGCCCATTCCCTTGACTTGACCGCGGCCGCGCTATCGCCACATCGCCGTTGGCATTTCGTACGGATTTCGTCAATTGAGAGCATGGCCGGCGCGGCATCATGGCGGCATGCGCGGCCCGATTCCGAATGATTGCTCTGCCTCTGTCGCGCGCATGGGACTTCCCGTAGGGGTGCGAGCGAGACAAAGCGACGAAACGACCTCTCGGAGTGAGACAGAGGCAGCTGGCTGCACGCGGGAGCCTGCGGGATTTGGGCGACTTGATGCGACGGTGCCAGGCTATGCCAGGCATACCAGGCTGCGGTCGCGACAGCCAATGAGCGCGCAGAGCGGCGCTGTGACCGCACGGCCCGCCAATGGGCGCGCTCTGACGGCATCAAGGGCCCGGCCCGGCCAGGCACGGGGCGCACGGCAACGGACGCGACAGGGAGAGGAAGAGAGGAAGAGAGGAAGAGAGGAAGAGAGAGAGAAAGGGAGAAAGGGAGAGAGGCGCGCCCGTCAACAACGAGCACCTGCCGCCGCGCCGCGACACGCACTGGCCGACGAGTCCAGCGTGGAGCTTCGGAGCTTCCTTCGAGGAGGACGAGCCCGGGCCCCGGGGTTGGGTTTCCCCGAGTCCTCCGAGAAGTACACGAAGAGTATCGACCTTTTGCCGTCACTTCGTGTTCTAAAAGGACGTTGTCCAGAGCACTTCATTTACTCGCGGTTTTGCCTAAATTTCGGTTTGCACCTGGACGCATGCGTGTTTCCTGAAGCCCCCGTCGAGGCCCAGCGGCGGGCAGGTCACCAACCACGGCTTCCTGGTCGTGCTGGTCGGAGTGCAGACGTCCGCCGCCAGTCAGCCAGTCAGCCAGGCGCGGCTCTGGGCGCGACTTGCGTCACGCCGGTCCCATTTTATCGATCCGCGGGCATCATATCGGCCGTTGAAGCTGTCCCGGCGATAAGGCAAGGCGGGCCCAGCGGTTTTGTCGCCCGTCTCTCTGTCTCTATCGCACTCGAGGGCGTTCCGTCCCGGTGCGAGAGAGACGGAGCGACGACGGACGGCGGCGAGGGCGAGGGCGTGCACTGCTCGGAATGAGGGGGCGTGGGTCCAGCCGTCCAGCCCGCCCGCGGGGTAGGCCACCCATCTGGCACGGTGCCGGCCGCAGCTGTCGCCGTGACTACGGACGCGACGCGACGGGACCGCGGGCTGTCACGCCAGCAGACTCATTCAGAGAGTCGTTTCCTTCACTCTGTCTCTCTCGCACTCACGGAGCGTCGCGTACAGGTGCGAGAGAGACAGCGACGGAAGCGACTCTCGGAGTCGGTCTGCAGTGTGGCTGCACGCACGTCGCGGCGTCGCGGGGGACAGCGACCAGCGAGACCGCGGCGGCATTTCGCTAATGAGAGGCCCGGCCAGCCGTGTCGCTCTGTCTCTCTCGCACCCTTACGGAGAACCCCATGAGTGCGAGAGAGACAGAGCGACGAAACAACTCCTCGGAGAATCGCTCGCTCGCCACCAGCCTGCGAGTTCCCGAAATGAAAACCAGCCAAACCCCCAGGCCGTGCCCATCGTGCGGCCTCCGGCGAATGAGGTCGTTATTTTTCAGACAGCAGAATGCAGGTGCTGGTGCCGTAGAGGGGAATGGAATACACAGACACGCAGACAGGCGCTGTCCGCGTCAGTCATGTGGGCCGCGAACCAAGTGCGAACACGGCGGCGTGTCTAAGGGCGAGGGGCGGGAAGGGCGGAGAAGGGGGAAGGTCACATGAACGCCCCCCCCCCTCCACGCGCCCGGCCGAGTGACTCATAGAGTTCCGCGAACTGCCCCACCCTCCCCTTTGCCTCCCTTCTCTTCCCTTCTCTTCCCTTCGCCCCGCTCTCTTCTTTTATGGCCTACATTTCGCTCTAGATCATTTCCTCGGCCGCCCCGCCCCCCAACGAGATTTCCATCGGATGATAAAAATGACCGCCCCCGTCGGTCCCCGTCGGCACTGAGCGGGAAGGGGGTGGAGTGGCTGCTTCAAGTATGTATCGGCACTTCGTGCGCACTCTAGTCCGACTCTAGTGTACTTGGCGCGATCGCGCCTCGCGGCCGCGCCCGTCAAGGACGCCCAAATTATCCAGGAGGTTCGTTTCCCTTTCCCCGCCGCGCCGCCGCCGCCTCCGCCGCCCCGCGGTCTCGGGCTCGGTCCGTCCGCCTGCGCGCCACCTGTCCGCTCGCCGGCCGCCGCACTTCGGACGGTGACTCAGCGACATCAGCTGAGCGGGGGGAGGGGGAGGCTGGAGAAAGGGACCGCGGGGGGAGAGAGG